CAGGGAACAGCCCAGGAATCATTTGTAGGAAGAAGGAAGGAGAAACTGAACAAAAGAAGGAGGTGCATAGTGAGACTACATCCATGGTTGAACCAAAGGAGTTAAGGACCACTGCATTTTTTTTCTTTTTTGAATTGTCTTTTAATATTTATTTTTTAGTTTTCGGCGGACACAACATTTTTGTTTGTATGTGGTGCTGAGGATCGAACCTGGGCCACACGCATGCCAGGCGAGCGAGCTACTGCTTGAGCCACATCCCCAGCCCTGGACCACTGCATTTTTATGTGCCTAAACCTTAGTGAAGTGCCTGCCCACAGCCTGTGCACAATGGCTAGTGCTTGCTGAATTGACCGCACCCTGAGATCTGACTCATAGGTCAGAGTACTTAACTGTACTCAACATTTCATTAAAAAGTGCTCTGCATAGCTGGGTGTGGTGGTGCACACCTATAATCCCAGTTAGTGGGGAGGCTGAGGCAGAAGGATTGCAAATTTGAGGCCAGCGTAGGAACTCAGCAAGATCCTGTCTCAAAATTTAAAAGTAAAATTAAAAATAGGGCTGGGATATATCTTGGTGGCACAATGCTCCTTTGTTCAATCCCAAGTAGTCCAAAAAGAGTTGTGTGTGTGTGTGAGAGAGAGAGACCCTGGGTTTGGTCTCCAGCCCAGCCTAAATATATCAATGACCTGCATGCCTGCCTCTAATCAGAAATGACAAATATTCATTGCTGAGTTACTTTTATTGATCAGAAATCATTCATTTGCTTGATATTGCTCTCCACAAGGGGATTTCTTTCATTTCACCTTTGCAAAAAACTGATTCCACATGGATCCTTGGGATCAAGAACCTCTCGGTCTGCTCCGCATGACCCCTGCCTCTGTCCTCTGGCCACTCGTTCCACCTGTTTCAATGTTCCTGGAGTCCCTGCAGCCTCTCCTACCTCATGGCCTCTACACCGTGTCCTTCACCTGGCCCCGACTCTGCCCAGACCAGAACATTCTCATCCTGTGGGTTTCCAGCCTCCACATTGCTCCCACAAGAGGCTTCTCTGGCTACAGCCTACTGCACCTTCCTGGTCCTGCATCCTGTCATTGTGTGTGTGTTTTGTCCTTACTGACACTATTTCCTAACTCAATTTCCTGCTTCTCACAAGCCTGGGAGCTCCAGGAGGACAGGGAGAGATCTGCACCTCCCCTGCTCCTTCTAGCAGGTCATCCATCTGTCTCTTTCCTCATTGAGCCACCAACCAATGAAATGTGATGAATCAAACAGCAAGGGCCTTCAGGGCAGTGGGACTCCACAGCATGGCGCTTGCCTGGCACCAGAGGGAGGGTTTCAGTTCCAGGCCAGAATGGGACTCAAGCAACTAAGACCACTACTGATGATCCTCCTGAGGCCAGGAGTGACATCTCTTCCTCTCAAGGACCTCACTCCCAGTGATATGAGGCCAAATGAGGGAGGGCAGGAACAGAGAATGACAAGGATTCAGAAGCACCTCACAGGAGAATTTCCAATGGAAAATCCTTGCTTCCTATGTACTGGGGGTGAGGCGGGAGCAGATCCTCCAGAGACTCTGGGATCTGTTTTCACGCTTTCTACCCTAGACTCCTTATGGATCAGCTAAGTTAAAGGCCCCACTGGACAATCACAGGAAAAAAAAATAAATAAATAAAAACCTGTTTAAGCCTAGTGCAGTGGTACGCCTGTAATTCCAGCAGCTCGGGAGGCTGAGGCAGGAGGATTTCAAGTTCAAAGCCAGCCTCAGCAACAGTGAGACTGTAAGCAACTCAGTGAGACCTTGTCTCTAAATAAAATACAAACTAGGGATGGGGGTGTGGCTCAGTGGTCCAGTGCCCCTGAATTCAATCCCCAGTACCACCTCCCCCTCCCAAAATCTGTTTAATACTATGTATGAAGAAAAATCTCTGCTCCATGAGCAGAGGGGCAGACTGTGATATACTGTTGGAATAACTTTCGGTTTACAGCTAGCAGCTATGAGCAGCTCGGAGTGCTTGAAGAATCTACACTCATTCAGGCCTGTTAGGAACGCCTGCAGGATGGGGTGCTCTGCTCTAGTGAGCCGTTAGCGAAACCACATCCTTAGCACTTGTGGTAAGCGTTGCCAAGCTGTCGGGCTAGGAAACTGATAGCCAGGAGCTTCAGGCATGGAACTTCTAACTTAGAAACCCCCTCCCCTAGGGACCAAGACCCTTCCTGATGACAGCAATATTTAGAGCATCCTCATAGTGCGGTTACGTTAGGTATAAGATGATTGGCTTATGGATACTATCTTGCTTGTGTATGATTGATGGGCACGCCCCACTCGAACCCTATAACAATTGTATGCATTCCAAAAATAAACTGAGCTACTGGACGAAGACCTGAGTTCTCTCACCAGCTCCTGGAGTCTGTGTGTTGATTCTGCGTCTCTACCCCCCGCGACAAGGTAGCCGAGCAACTAACTGACCAGAACCGCAGCAATGTACCATGTTACATTTTTGCCTACTGGTAGCCAGTGGCCACCTAACAGTAGAACAACTGGATGTTCTAGCTCCAACCCCCTGTAAGGACACACCTTATGGCAGCAGGTTACACAGGTCCATGCCCTCCACCCGTGGCATATATGGATGTCCATGGAAAAGGACCCTTTGGGAATAAAACATCAGTGGAACCGTAAGCTGATCAATTCTGCAAAGCCCAGTGATTCCATCTAGTGAGGCCCAGGAAGCCCAGCAAACATGCCTGAGGGCAAGCTCCATAGTCATGTGACAAAGGGACTCCAGGATGCATAGTCCAACACATTGGGCCTGCCCACTGCTGGCAAGAAGATTTTATAAATCCTTCCTGGCCTCCCAGGAGTGCCACTGTGTGGGGACCACAGTACATGCGTTTTCTAGGAATCTCACAGAAGTTCCTTTTGCAGAGTGGATGTGGGCTCTGTGGAGCTGAGTCAACTCCCTGAACACAGCAGGCCGGCCGGGGTACCCTCCCAGCCACAGTACCAGCAGGAGCAGCTACCTGGGCCTCTGTGGTACATTTCACCTCCTCTGTCACTCACAGGCAGCAGGTACCATTAAAAGATGAAATGGACCTTTTAAAACCTGAAGAAATAAGTGGACTCTAATTGTGATCATTCCCCCAGAAAAGTACCACTGGAATAAAATGTTTAATTTTGAGGCAGGGAGGTGGACTGAGGGCAGGCGGCAGCTGTGAGAGACCACACCGTAAGTTCTCTCTCCCCTCCCCGCCTTCCTCTGGGGAACCAGGCTGCTGGAGCCTGCTGTGACAAGGTAGGACAAAAGCTGGGAGGGCTGGCCCGCGGCTTCTCTCACCTCCACACCTGCTGGGCTGGGCAGTCATGGATGTTGATCACGATATGTACGTGACAACTCCTGAGACGGTTCTGTTGACATGGCCCAGTCATCAGAGAGTGGGAGACATTCTAGGATGGTACATAGTCATCACCTGCAGAAGAATCCAGCTGGAAGAGGCCATCACTGAGGTGTGACTGACCTGCCTGTAGGTGACCCCTCTGCAGCAGCTCCCGAGGCACACATGCAGGTGGTCATCTGGCTTCTGTAACGAAGCACTCCCCTTGCCGTCAATCTCCTTACTCTCTAATGCAAAGGCCCCTGCTGCCCTATGGGTTTTGCTGTAAGGGTCCGCTATACCCTTGGTGGCCCTTGGAACTTTCCAGGACCCTTTTAATATGGCCTGCAAGGCCATGTCAAGAGGCTTCTGTTCAGTTGGCTGTGGGTGAGGCCAGAGGGAGGATGGGCAGCAGGGTCTTGTTACCTCTGAACACTGCAGCAAGGGCTCACGGATCCCAGAGGAGGCCAGAAGGTTTTTGAGGTCTCTGTGGGAATTTGTGGCAGCCTTTGAGGCATGGGGTCAGGAAGTTCTTACTTGTCAAAGGGCAGGAACAAGCTAGTAAGAGTTGAAGACGACTGAAGTACCGGTTGAGTCACGAGTCCCCAGGGGTAGGTGTCTTCCTGGGGACTTTCTTGGGGACACCACAGGTTCCCAGCAGAACCAGAACTCCAGGCCCTTTGTTCAGGCTGGTGCATTCAGTGGAACCAGCCAGAGAAAGCCTCTCTTGCTCCTCTGGAGGCAGCAGTGAGAGGGCCAGCTGGGTCTCCCCAACCGCTGCCCTGCCCTATCTCTGAGGTTCCTTGGGTTCCCCTGCCCTGGGGCCCTGGGGCTCAGCCTTGCCCTCAGGGGTAAGTGGCTTTCTCGGTGGCTTCCAGCCCTTCCCTCGCAGGCTGAGGTCAGTGGGAGGCACACCTGGAGTCAGGATCAGAGACCAACCCTGGTTATGACCCAGGGCTCAGCATCAGGCCCTGCTCACCCTCTGGCCATGCTTCACCCCTTCTGGCCACTTCAGAGCACCGTCACACTGCCCACTGTCACTCAACTGTTAGGGCAGCAGGAAAGCCTGCAGGTCACCTGGCCCAAGCCCCTTGATGGAAGAGAAACTGAGGCCAGGAAGGGATGAGGCTGCCCCAAGGTCCAGCTCCTGCACTTGGGGGTTCCACATGAGAAACTAAGTAAAACCTAAGCTCCCCATCTCCAGAGAGTCCTGGCTCCAGGTGCTTGTCAGCCAGGGCACAGATTGGGCTCAGGTCCCCCCATTGTTCCTTCCAGACATACCAACAGAGGCCTCAGGCATGTAACTCAGGGGCCACTTGGGGTCTGCCGACAGGACCATCCTTTACCGCCATTTACATCACAGACAAGCAAGGGCAGTTCAGGGACTCCAAGTCCACCCTCTCCACTGCACACTCAGAAGGGCAAGCACCTGCCAGAGCCCACCTAGCAGGCTGGCGAGGAGCTACAGCGTTTCTGCCACCCACCCTGGGAGGCCAGCTAGCCCTGGGAAGAGCTGGGAAAGAGGCAGGTCACCAGAAGAATACTTAGAGGAGTAAAAACCCAATAAACAGCCTTCGAACAGCTCCACAAACTAACGGCTGGCTTCAGGAAGGACTCCAGAATTCAGCGAGTGGCTGGAAGGACCTTTATGGGCCATCTACCCTCCCCCCACATTTGACAGGCAGCAGCGTGAGGCCCAGAGAGGCTCAGCAACTCCGAAGCAAGACTCAGTCTGAAAAGCCAGCAACTCCTCACCCCAGACTAGGAGCTGCTGCTGATTAAGGGGGTCATTGGAGGCTGGCCTAGTGACCAACGGAAACCCATGCGCTCTGGGGCCGCACTTGTCGCCCCTCACCTCACCCTGGGAGGACAGCAGCAGCATCTCTCCTTGAAAAACAAAATGCCCATCTCCTCCAAGAGCTGCCTCCGAGGGCCCGTCCTGCCCTTGGCCCTGGGTGATGGGGAGCAGATGGCGCTGCCTGCTCCTGCGGGGAGTCTGCGTGGCCTTCTCAGTGCTGATGTTGTCCCGGAAAGACGGGGCTACCGGAGCTCCCTGGAGTCCCAGTGGCCAGGCAGGTGCCGCAGCCTCATGTCTTCCTTCTGGATGTGCTCGTAGCAGGACTGGGGAGAGAGAGGAGAGGCTGGGCCCCCAGCCTGCCTGCTCCTAGCCACGTGCACAGGCTCTGGGGCCCAAAGCCCAGGGCACCCACCTCCCAGGTCCAGACTAAGTGGCTCCTACTCAGCCCTCAGTCATATTCTTCAAGGAAAATGGGACCTTTCCTCTCCCACCGGGCTTGGGGATGTGGCCTGGAGGTCTTGGTCCCTTATTAACAAGGACAGAACCTGCGAGGACCCTTTCCACAGAAGTACAACACATGAGCTGCAAATCTGAGCTCATCCCCTTGAGGGGGTCTGGGGCAGGGAAGAGGTCTGTCCCTGTGGCCAGCACTTTTCTACCTCAGCCTATAGTCCTGTCCCTCACCTCCAAGGCTGTGAGCAGGAAGTCATACAGGCCTCCTATGTGGACAGGGTTCATCATGTCCCGGATCAGGTGGATCTCGGCTCCCAGGTGCTGAATTCTGGAGAACACCCACCCCAAGACAGTGAGGGAGAGAAGACGGCGGCATCCTGGAGAGGCACTGCACAGCTGCGCAAGGACGGGGCCTTGGCCTAGAGGGCTGGACACCTCAGATGTGGTCCCCACTATCTCTGATGCCCACAGGACCCTCCCCTTTCTGGGCCTCTGTCTCTACCAAGAAACCTGCATCAGTAACCGTGATGTCCACAGACTTCAGACCATCCGGGCAGGGTGCAAGGGGGCTGCTGCACCTGTACCCCCACCCCAACCATGAACCTGGCTTGGCTGGGACTCACCGGGCCCGTGACACTACGTAGACGAGCAAGGGCAGCAGGTCATCCATGGGCAGCTTGTGCTCCTGGCCGAGCACCCGCGTCACCGTGGTCTCGATTTCCCCATATGTCTTCTCTAGTACCTCCAGCTTCTCCCGAGGGTCCACTGTGGTCCTGCGGCAAGGTGGCTGGCTCCAGGTCAAGATCCCTGGGTTCAGCCCCAGCTGGGGACCCCCAACACTCCCAGGTCCCCTGCCCACCTCCTCAGGGCAGGGACTCACATGATCTTCTGCAGGCACTCGGTGGCAGACAGGAAGCACTTGTCCCTGACCAGCGAGTACCTCTGTGTGGGGAGTAGACTAAAATGAGGCTGAAGTCCCTGCTGACATGCCCTCATTCCCAGGGCTCAGGCTGCCCCAAGTCCCTTCCCCATCACTGACTTTAGCACAGCCCCATCCAGAGGGCTGAGTGACCCAGGGTAAGTCACAACTCCATGTGGGCCTCACTTATGCAACTATCAAATGCGGTAACAGCTCCAGGGGGTTGGGAGGATCGAGGTGGGTAGCCGGTAGTCACTAGATGCCCCCCAACCCCAAAGGTCCATGTCAGTGGTTCCCAAACCCAACGGCCTGTTGCAACACAGGTTCCTGGGTGACTCCCTCAGTTTCTGACTCAACAAATGTGGGGTGGTCCAAGAATCTGGTTCCAGATGGTCCTGCTGCTGCTGGTCAGGAACACGCTTTGGGAACAAATGTCTCACGTGCCTTCACCCTACACCCACCCTGTGAGATGGGCCTGGAAGTGGCTCCCTTTACATGGGAGCAAATTGAGACTCAGGGTTCAAGCATCTGGCTGAGGGTCACACAGTAGAAAAGGGGCAGAGCCTGTGTTGGAGCCTGGTCATCGCGGGAGGTGGAATGAGGCAGGAAGCCTGGCATGTCCTCTCTCATCTTTCTCCACCTCCCACAGCCCACAGCCATCCTGAGGCAGGCGATGGGCCCACCCTCTCACCTGATTGGTCGTCAGCTTGAGGTCCTTGAGGGGCCACAGGTGCCTGAAATAAAAAAAAAAAAAAAAAAAAAAAAGGCATGACAGGAGGCTTTGCCAGGATGAGGGGCAGGGGCTGAGCTCAGGGGGCAAGGCTGCTGTCACCCAGGAAGGCTGAGGATAGCCTGGGAGAAGGGAACCGGTCCCCAAGAGCAGGCTGAAACAGGGGGATGGGCAAAGCTAGCCTCAGCAAAAATGAGGCCCTAAGCAATTCAGTGAGACCCTGTCTCTAAATAAAAAATACAAAAGTGGGCCGGGGATGAGGCTCATGGTAGAGTGCCCCTGAGTTCAATCCCCTGTACCAAAAAAAAAAAAAAAAAAAAATGTCCCTAGGCACATGTGTGGAACTCAAGGCCAGGGGAGGACAGCAGGATTCCTGGAGGCAGAAGCCCTTGCTGTGTGACAAAGGAGACCATGTGTAGGAGGAGGGACCGTGGCCAAGCACCCCAATGGGGACTACGGGTTAATTATTCATGGTGTCAATGTTTTAGAGAGGTGCTAAGGAAAAAGGACAAGGATAGGGTAGAAGGGAGGTCCCCAGGTATGGCAAATACCTGTCTGACCTGCTACCAGGGACTTCCCCTCCCCGACTCTCCAAGTGTCCAGAGCACTCAACCTTGCCCAGCCTTCATGGTGGCTATTGATGCGGGCCTGGTCATTGATACCTGCTTTTCATGGTGGGCTCAAGACCCAAGCTAAGCCAGTGAGGGACTCCAAGTGCTCTGCTGGAGCTGTTGGGAAGGAAATGCCTATGTGGACAGTGAGGAGACTGAGCTGGGAGGGTATAACCCTCAAGAGGCTACTGCCATGTTTGTCACCACGAAGGAGAGTCAGAGAAAAAACAGAGAAAGAAAAGGGGGCTTCTCTTTGAGCACCTAGATCCAGCCACACCTGAATGCATAACCTTAGAACTCTGTAGTATGTGAGCCAATTAACCTAGGCCTGCTTTTGGTTGAGGACCGTGTGAGTCGAGTATGTATGGTCTGCTTCACTAGAGCACTGGCTAAGGTGGCATAGGGAGGCTTACTTCTGCACATCGAGGAACTCCAGCAGCTTGGTGTCGGGAAACAGGCTCAGGTGGGTTATGCCCTGGCTGTAGAGACCGTCCTCCCTCTCGTGAAGAAGTAAGTAGAGCGTGAAGAGCTCTGAGTAGAAGCTGGGCAGCACGAGCGGCAGCATCAATCCATGCACCTGGAGGTCCCTGGGAGAAACCAGAACAGGTTGGGTCAGTGGGAGGTTGAGGCCTGGCAGGTGGGAATATCAGTGCTTGAGCTCCTCACCCCACCATGCTGCCCCTGCCTCTAGCCTCGCCATTCCCTAGAAAATCTCCCCAAGATTTTCTCAGTCGACTCATTTGAATCTGTGAGATCCTCCTTCCCTCACTTCTTTTCCCACATTCCACTGTGATTCACAAAGAATCACTACACAATGCTTGCTTGGTCAATAGCATGGATGCCCAACATTTCCCCCTATCCCCCGAGGGAGGCCCCAGGAGCAGTGGCCAGGGCTGGTCACCTTGTCTCTTCGTCTTCGTCCTCTAGGGCCTGGCCCTTGCGCTGTAAGGCAACCTGCAGCAGACCCCTGCAAACCAACGAGAGGGCACGGCATGGCTGCCACCGCCACAGAACCGAAGCTCCACCCCCTCAGCCACCAAGGTGAAAGCAGGTGGCTCTATATCCCAGAACCAGGGACACTGAGCCTGCAGTGTCACCCTCTCAAAGCCCGGCAGTCATCAGGCTGCAATTAGAGGATGTCGCCAGAGTCCTGCGCCCCAGTAACAGAGGAACTGCAGCATCCAAGGCCTCTTTGCGAAATGTTTGATGGGGCCGCAGCTTAGCCTGCGACCAGAGATGGTGCCGAGTTTCCGGATCTGGCTGGGCCTGCAGTGGGGTTGGAGCTACCCAGGGCCACGTGGGGCTTGGACTCTAGCTGAGGGTTGCAGTGGGGCCCTTGTCATCTCTAATCCCTTGGCTCTTCGCTGGATCAGACCTGAGGTAAAGGCACCATTGCTATCAGGGTATCAGGAAGAGCTACTGCAGGGACGAGCAGGCCCGGGGCTACAGGGGAGGCAGTGGCTGGCCCCGTGTGCCACGGAGCTCACCTACCTGTAGGCAGCCCAGAGTTCCCGGGCATGCTGCTTCACCTCCTCCTGGGCCAGAAACTGCAGGTGTTTGTTGGCCCCAACACCCGCGTAGGTGGCCTGGAAGGTCAGCATCAGGGTCCGGAGCAGCTTTCCCAGGGGGTGCAGCGAATTGCTCAGAGCCTAGGCCAGTGCAGAGATAGCGGGCACTCAACACCCTGAGCAGCAGTGCCACAGGCCCAGCTGCTCCCATTTCACAGACAGAAAGCTGTGGCCCTCTGAGGACAAAGGGCCCACAGGCCTGTCCCCTCTGGTCGGTACCCTGCCATGAGAAACGGAAACCTTCCCCAGCAGGACCCAGTGAGAGCAAGGCCTCCCCGTGGGCCGCCCATCCCAGGGCCCTCACCTTCCTGAGGTACTGCTGCAGGGCCTTGGGCTCCCGGTGCTGCAGTAACTCCTCTAGGATGTCTTCCACATTGCCCGCACTGTCCTTGGGGTGGCTCCTGGGCAGCACCATGCACAGCGTCCCTCACCCACACCCAGCCCCCAGGGAGCCTTCCCCGGCCCTCTGCCCCATGGGCACGCGCACGCGGGCACCGCGGGCCTCACCTCTCACAGCACAGGTACTCCTGGGACTTGCGCAGCTCCCTCGGGCTCTGCATATGGAAGCCCAGCAGGGCCTCCTGCAGGTCTCCAGGGCAGTCGGCAAGCACAAAGTGCCAGAAGGGGCTGTAGACTCCCTGCCAGCGGCTCTCCACGGGGAAGGCTCCCAGACCCAGCTGCCTGTGATGTGGCGAGACAGGGGAGAGGTGGAGCTGAAGTGGGCAGGACCCTGTCCAGGCCCTGAGAGGGGCAGTGCCAACCTCTGGTGCTGCTCCGAGAGACAGACAGACAGACAGACAGAAGGACAAGAGAATGGACTCTGCCATGGAGAAGTGACAGGATTCAGAATCCCGGGAGGATGGAGACCAGGATTAAGGCCAAGCTCAGAAAGGGGGTGTTGACCCAGGATAGACCAGTGCTCAAAGCCCAGGATTCCCCTGCCATGACCCCTGCTCTGTCTTCCTCTGCAGCCTGTTCCTTCCTGCAGTTGATCCTGCTTTGGCCAACAGTCTGAGGCCTGGCTGTGTGTGCATCTAATGGACTGTGACTAACGGAATCCTGTCCTCTGGTATTACACAGATTATCCCCTGCCTGTACCCCACCAGCTGGGGCATGCCCCTAGGGGTTGCTGTCTACCCCAGCTCCTGCTGTCAGAGAGGCAGCATGCAGGGATGGTGAGTCCACGAGTCAGCTGTACCCCTCTCTACATCTCACTGCTGCTTGGGACCACGGCTCATTAAAACCTCCATCCACACCGATTCTCGCACATGCCCAAGTGTTTCTCAGCAGACTTGGCAATTCAGTTTTCTAAGGAAGAACTCTGTCTGTATAGGGGAAAAAAAAAGTCTCTTCCCCTCCAAAAATATCGCTTGACAGTGACAATTAATCCATGTAGCAAATCTCCTTCTTCACCTTGGCTGCGGGGGAACTCTGAGCCAGGCTAGAGCTCAACTAACTGTTGTAGTACCTATCTGTCTATCCCTGTCTTTTAAGAGCAACTCATCATTTTTTCTTTCTTTCTTTTTTATTGAGTTTGGTTTGTAAACTGTACTCTTTTTAGAAAAAAAGATCAGGATCAAAGCGAATTCTACAATTAACATTTTTCTCCTGTTTTATGGTGTATGGAGTTATCTCCACACAGCTCTTGATTCCAAGAGTTTCTGACTGGAGGGTTGTTTGCCTTCGGCTCTCTGGAGGATTAAGCTCATCTACTGAGACCTGAACCTTGGGGGTGAAAACAGACACATATAGACAGGCCCTAGTGGGCCGGGGCCAGGCGGGCCAGGCTCTTACCTCTTGCAGATATTGCTTGGGTCTGGTGGGAGGGCAGCCGTGTCCAGCACTCCCTGTGTATACAGTCCTTTCCCTGACCCGCTGCTAAATGAGCCCTCCAGGGTGAAGCCGTTGGGGAAGGTCACCTTGCCCTGGGAGCCAGGAGAGGGAGGCAGGGATGTCTGTATGCCCAGCTTCTACCCCATGATGACAGGCCTCACGCCTGTCCATCTGGGTCAGACAGGCTGCAGACTGAGGGGGCCTTCCCAGCACCCATTCAATCTGCTCCTTCCCTGAGGGCTTGAATGCTCTCAGGAGCCCCTACCAACAGCTGCATCCCCCTCTCAAAGCAGGAAGGGGTGAAAGGCGGAGAAGGGACTCACAGAGGAGAATAGGGAGGACCGGCATTGAGGGGCTGGGGAGGGCCAACTCCTGGCTGCATGGGGCTGTCCCACAGAGCACCCCAATGTCCACCCATTATACACCAGGGGTGCCCTCCTGTCCTTGTCCTAAAGGGCCTACACTTCCACGGCCCCAGCAGGGCACCGCTGCCTTCTGCTGAGGCAGCCTGGGCAGGAACATACAAAGGACAGTGTCTCCAGGGTGTGCAGCCCAGGGCACTGGTGATGGTAGAAGCCAGGTGTTCTGAGCTGGGGTCATTGAGGGGACACAGGCAGAGACCACCAGCATCCTCTGGACATGAGGCAAGTTCTCCAGTCCCCTCTTAGGTTGCTCCAGAATCAAACTGTGACTCCATGGCAGGGTCACTGCACCCCACCCCCACCCCTACTCCCACCCCCCGCCCCCGTGGAGGCAAAGGAAGGGCCCTCCATTCCTGCTCCACCCTTTGCCTGAACTCTCAGCTCTGGGCTCTAGGACAGAGGTAGGAGATGCCACTCAGGGCCTTGGAAGGGTGTGGAGCAAGGTCCCAGGGGCCCTCACCTTGCCCACGAGCGTCAGGTCCCTGGTGAAGGTGCCCTCATACAGGGAGTCGTCTTCAGAGAGGAGGATTCCTGGGCCCTTGGAAGGAGGGCATGGGGAACAGGGAGGGTGAGTAAGATGGGCCGGGACACGGGGAGGGGGAGGGGGAGGGATGGTAAAGATGGGAGGTGGACATTGACACCAGGAAAGAGGGGCTCTAAGCCCTGTCGCCCTCTCCCAGGACTGTGCCTAAGTGGGATACTGACCCTTGGCCGGTTGTGCACCAGCCCCATGGACTTCATCCTGGGGTTCCCCTAAACAGACCTGGCTGCTCACCCCCTCTGCAGGAAGCCCCTGGGAGCTCAGGAAGAGCAGCACGTCCCTGCTTCCCTGCCACAGCAGCGGTCAGGAAGCTCAGAGCCAAACAGGACAGTCTGTGTTCAACTTGGTTGTAAATCTATTTTTTGTACCTATTCTTGCCTTTTCTTCTTTTTATCTGCAGGCTTTCCTTAACACATTTCAGAACAAAGTGGAACATAAACAAAGAAGTCACAATAACAAGGACAGCCATAGGCCACAGCCTACCACACACCAAGCACCTGTCGAGTTCAGGCAAGGCAGAGGGGAAAGCTGAGAGACCAAGCTCTAGGGACTTGGGTTCGAGCCTCAGCTCTGCTGCTCAGTAGGATGTGACATGGGCAGGTCCTCTGACTGCTCTAGCCTTATTCCTATGCTAGGATAATGACATCAACATGCAGGGTTCCCTTGAGGATCCTACAAAGCAGCGGGGCAGGTAGCCTGGAGCTAGGAGTCCAGTGAGGAGCCTGCAGATGTAGGTTACTGAGGCTACCGGGAGCTCGGGACACAAGCAGGTCACCCCACTCACCACCATCTTGTCTGCTTGGAAGGTGCCCTGGTAGCAGACACCCGCCTGAGTGACCACAACCCCTGGGCCATGGCGCTGGTCAGCCCGCCACATGCCAATGTAGCGCTCACCCCTGGGGGAAGAGAGGGTATGGCCAAAGTTGGATCAGAATCTTACTGAGTACCTCTGTGTGCTGGGCCAGCAGAGGGCGGGGTGGGGGGACAGTTTAGGAGCAGTGACATATCGGAATCTACTCAACTCCGACTTAGGGGCAGGCGAGGTCAGAACCCCCAAGAGGAACAGAGGGTGAAGGGGGGGAGGAAGCCTGCCTGGGGAGGGCATCCTAGGGGACTTCTTGGTGGAGGTGGCAGGAAGGAAGATGGAGTGGGGGTGCAGCCTATGTGCAGACAAAATCAGGGAGGGAGGAGCGCACAAAAGATCTGTGGGGACGGTCAGTGGTCCCGAGAGGCTGGGGGTGCATGGGAGGCCTAGCAGGGGTCAGATCAGAAGGTTAGGTGTGGTCTCAAGGCCAGGCCAAGGACCTGCAGCTCTGTCCCACCCAGAGAGCCTGGAAGACTTTCAGTTCCTCAATGGGACCAGGTTAGAGGTTCCTCTCTAACAGAGAGGACGCCAGAACTGGCGGGCCCTGCAGTCGGGATGGTCAGTCTCCCTCGGCCTGAGCCTCAGCAGCAGCCAAGGGAATGTGGCAGAGGTGGCGGATGCCGAAGGAACGCGGGGAGCACACAGGGAGCCTGAGACCATTTGGCCTGTGAGGATCCTCTCTGCCCCTCACCCTGGGTGGTGGCTGTGAGCACTCACCTGTCACTGTCCTCCTGGACACCATAGCCACTCCTCTGGCCTTTCTCCCAGTGGCCTGTGTACTTGAAGGGCTGGGGCGCCTGTGGTGCACTGTCGAGCACCCCAAATCCATGCCGCAGGCCCTCCTGGAAGTAGCCCTTGTACACCTCGTCAGTGCCGTACCTGGAGAGCAGCACCAACAGCTGGCCCTGCCTCACAGATGGGCCCAGGACTCGCCCTCCCACAAGCCCACCCTACCCCCACCAGCCGGGGCCACTTACTCACAGATGCCGTAGCCACACATGCTGCCCTCCTGCCAGTGGCACTTGTAGCAGTCAAACTTGTCCTCAGCGGCCTGGGGCACCAGGTGGATGCCAAAGCTGAGGGTGTGGGGGGAGGGGAGTCAGCCCCAAGGGCCACCTCCAGGCACAGCCACACCATGCCACTCAGGGTGTCCCTGTCCCCAAGGAACCGCCTCAGATAACAGGGAGAACAGCCCCCCTCTTCTTCCAAGGCATCAGGACACCTCTCTCTCTGTCATGCCACCATGAAGCCTGGGAAGCCTGGCCCTGAATCACTCCTCTGCGAGCCCCTGCTGAGACGCCCCTGTCAGGAGCCTTGGTACCAAGGCTTCCCCTTGGTACAATGACAGGACCTGGGCCATATGGTCCCTACACTCCTGTTGGAGGTTTGGGCACAGAGACTGAAGCCCCTTCCCTACGCATACACACACTGCAGCCTCAGTCTCCATCAGCCTTACCCCTGCTCCAGGCCCTTGAAGAAATCCCCCACGTGATTCCGTCCATCCGGCCACTTCAGGGTTCCCCTGGAACACAGTGGAGGTCCATGACATGGGGCCCACCAGATCCATCCTCAACAGCCTCAGCCAGAGACTCTGTAAGAGGCCGACCCTCCCCACAGCCCCTGGATCTCCCTTCGCCTAGACTCCACCTCCTCCCAGCACTATTGTCTCTGCTTTAAGACACCCCCCATGCCCTCCACCTTGTGGAGGTAGCTGGAAGGAAGATGGAGCGGGGGTACAGCCTAAGTGCAGACAAAACCAGAGAGGGAGGATCAGTGGGGATGGTCAGTAGTCCCCAATCCCCACCCCCACCGCCCAGAACACCCCTTCCGCTCTCTCCACTCCTGTTCAACGGCACCAGCAGCCTCATGGGCACCTCCCACGACACTCCTGGAAACATCTAGCTCCCTCTGCCCTGACCAACAGGAAGCTCTGAGCTAAACTTCAACTTCAAGCTGAACATTATTAGTCAGTGGGGCGTTGGCCCCCCTCCTCCCTTCTTTGGATAGAGTACTGATTGTGTTTTTGTATTTTTTGGTAGGGGGTCTCTTTGTTCATAAGCCCCTCAGCTCTTTCAGGAAGGAGGTAGTGTATTAGAAACTATGGCTATGCTTGAGAGAATAATTTTATGAGTCTTTTCTCCTCTCTGGGTCCCTTCTTCAACCCCAGATGGAAAGTCTCCCCAGCTGTGGCAAAGCCAGGGACCATAGGGCTCAGTTTCTGCACCTATAAAATGAGTGAGAACTCTTGCCCAGAGGGTCCTCAAAAGGACCTGTGGAGCAAGACGGTGGTCAGGCCTCTTGGTCACCACCAGACAGAGCTGTGTAGACAGGAGAATTATTCGCCCACCCTCCTAAGAAGCAGTGGCAACTGCAGCCCCTGCAGGCCAGGCCCCTGGCGGCAGGCCCTTGCTCTCCAATGTCACCATTGAGATTTTATTTGGCACAGACTTACTGCAGGCCAGGACCTACTCAAGAGGACTTAAGAGAAACTCTGAGGGGCAAATAGAACAGACTTATGGACACACAGCCCGGAGGCTGCAAGGTCCACCAGGGTCCCGTTGGCCCTCAGGCCCCTGCCAGGTCCAGCCCAGAGTGCGGTCACTCACTTGCCGTGGGGCCTGCCCCAGCGCCACTCGCCCTCGTAGGTCGCCTGGCAGAGCCGGCCCTCAGCGCGGAAGGTGTAGGCTCCGCAGCGGCAGACAGGAGGCTCTGATGGCTCTAGGCCCGCCCCCAGCACCGGGAAGTCTTTCTTCCCACGTAGGGCCTGGCACACGGCCTGGGTCACCTTCCACTGCCAGACCACCTGGTGGGGACAGGGAAGCAAGGACAGGCCACTGCTGCGGGTGTTCCCTTAAAGACAGCTTCTGGGGCAGCTCCAGGCTGCACCCCCCACCTCCACCTGCTGCTCCTCGCTGTCGCCTGCAGCCCTCCCAGACCAAGATCCCTGTCTGCTCCCTCAGGGGTGCCCAGGAGATTGGAAGAGACAAGGGCAGGGATCACCTCGGGTCCCTGTTCTAAGGGTCCTCCCTTTCCCAGCTCCCAGGTCACAGCTCTCCCCACTCACCTGGCTCTGGGGGTCCCTAGCACAAAAGGAGAACTCTTCTTCTGGTGTGAGGAGGTGGAACGTGTACCTAGACAGAGAGAGGTGATGAATAGGCCCCAGTTCCGTCCAGGAGGACATGGGGGAGGTCCTAAGGTGTGGACATATGTCAGGGAGTGGAGGGAAGGAAGATCAGGGGTGTCAGCAGAGGGGAGTGCTCACCTGTCCTGCCCAGGATCCACCCACAGCAGCTTCAGATCAAAGGTATGGACATTGTGGCCCTGGAAGAAGATGGACAGGTGCTCACCTGCCCTCTGCTCAGGTTGCCCTATGCATGAATACCTGGGTGGCTCCAGGCTGCTTGGTGCAGCATGCCCAGCACTGAATCTCTCTCTGTGCAGTCTGTTCCTCTTCTCAGGGCAGCTCCTCCATTTATTTTCCTGCCTCAGAGCCTGGCCAGATACCCAGGACCAGCCTCCCTCTCCCCTGTGGCTATCAGAGAGGTCTGTAAATACAGCCTGGACCTTGTCAGCCCCTGCTGGAAGGGTCTCTGAGTTCTCCTGCCTGGGAGTTGGAGACCCACGGTTGAGCCTAACGTGGAAGTTCCCAGAGACCACTCCAGGTTCTTGTGGCCCTAGCCCTCACCCTCTCCAAACCTAGCATCATACCATGCCACCATCACACGGCCCTTAGTTGGCCCCAAACTCTCCTCACTCTTGAACTTTGCTCATGCTGTTCCTTCTACCTGGAAGGCCTTCTTGCTCTGAATTAGACAGAAAGTCCCTTCCTTTGGGAAGAGTCTGTCCTGTGACCTCCCAGTTGGTCTAGGAAGGCCACTCACGGCTCCATGGCCAGAAAGAGGAGGAGCAGGAGTCCAGGGATGAGGGCTAAAAGGAGTATGCAGACACATGCCAAGGAAAAGAGAAGGTCCAGCAGCAACAATGAATGACATATGCAAAGGCTCAGGGGAGGAAAAGGCTGGCTCAGTTAGGGGCAACATCTCTGGCACACAGAAGTCAGGGGCAACGCATACACAAACTAAGTCCGAAACCAGGCTTCAGGAGACAGGGCTGGGGTTGGGCAAGTAGCATCCCTCCCAGGCCTCGGCTTCCCTGTCTGCAAGGGGAGCTCCATGCTGACATTCTGAGGACAAAGGGGACAGTGCCATGGATATCACAAAGGCAATATGAGTTGGGTCAAGGTTACTGCCATGTAACAATTACCAAAACCCAGGTCTAGCTCCCTCCTGACTTTTGCAATGTCGAGAGCCCCAGAGCTGCTTCTGCGGGGTTCTTCCCTGGGAGCCTCCTCACCCAGTCTTTCCCCTGGGGATCTTCTCTTGAGTATGAAGGGAACTAAGTAGACACTTACTCTCAACAATGCCCACTTTCCCTACGGGGAAGCCAAAGTGAAAGCTTCAACCAAGGCATCAGGGGGGCGGCTGAAGCCGGACGCACCTTGGCAGCGTTCCTGTGAGCCCCTCCATCAGCGATGGCTCTGGCCAAGCGCCCCTCCTCAGCCCTTGGCCTTTCTGTCTCTCCCCCCTTCCCAAGTCCATGCCCTCAGTCTCAGCTGCTTGTCCCTTTCCCACTCCTTTTTCAACCAGACTCCAGCACCCCACTGGGGTCAGCCCCACCCCAACCTGCAACAGGACGAGGGCATCATCGAAGAGCAGCACACGCTCAGCCCGCAGAGGGGTGACCACCACAGGGACGTCCTGGCTGTCTTGCAGGAGTCGGTGGGTAGGGGTGCAGAGCACATCCTGGAGAGGCGAGGATGGAGGAGCAAGGATGAAGCACCCCTGCCCTGCTGCTGCTGCCCAGACTCCTTCCAGAGGCCTCCCGTAGTGGACTGGAGTGACCCTGGGTTCAGTGACCAGTGCTGGAGCTCTGCAATCGTGGTCATTCCTGGGCTCTCCCAGCAGCGCAGCAAGGCCTCTCTCCTGAAGCTTCACTGTGTCCTCTCCCACACCCCACCCCTGGGCCACGGGTCACTCTACCCTCAAGCCCTGACTCCCTGCAGTAGCTCTTGTCCCCTATTATAATGCTCTATACTGGGCCCCCATCTGCCACTCCCTCAGGGCACAGGGTCTCTCCTTCTAGCAGAGGCAGCCCATGACATAGTGGCAGGGGCACAGAGGTGTGATTGGTGACACACTGGAGAGAGTCCATTCTGCTGACCACCTTTCCCCAGAGCCAGGCAGGGCCAGCCCAGGAGCTGCTCAGCAGATGGATGAAGATGGTTTATAGCACTTTGTTCCCCCACCAACCCAGCTTCTAGATTGGGAAATAGGCAAGGAGCATGCAGCAAGCAGCTCAAGCCACCCAGCGGCCCTGTCCCTATGTCCAATGCAGAAACCCCTTCGCTGCCACCCCTCAGGCCCCAAACTCACCCTCAGCTGGCTACTCAGGGTGTGCCAGAGAGCCTGTGTGGCCACAGCCTGGTCCAATGCCTGACCCATGAAAGACTGTAGGTTCCCGAAGACGGTGACTGCATGCATCACCAGCTCCTGGGCAGGGTGACGCTGCAGTGGGACAGAGCAGACAATGAGGGTATAGGAGGCTTTTTGGAACTGTCCTCCACCTGTGATGGTCATACTGGCCCCGTCCTGACCGAGGCTGGTCAGAGACCTGAACCCAGGCCAAGGACTGTCCTTTTCTCTCTGACAATTCAGTTTTCTACTGGGGAGAGGGTATGAAGGTGCTTCCAGAGGAGTCAGGACCAGAGTAGCCCTAGGGCCATGTGTCCTCATACCAGCCCACAATTCTCTCTGGTTCCCCCAGGGCAGGGTCACATGCCTCAGACACCCCAGGGCTGGCTTGTGACCCATTAAAAATCCCTACAGCAGAGCCATGTCCTCAAACCCCTTCCCCAGGGCAGGGCTAAGTTCCCTCCAAACCCTAGGCTTGCCTGGGTCTTTCTTAAACTCAGGTCCCTGAGTGTCATCGGGGTCCCCTGAGCCTGGGCCCTGCTTCTCCCCTCCCTCAGCTTCCCCACAGTATCCCCTGATACCCACCTCCCCGATGGTGTCCCTGAGGCTCAGCAGGAAGAGCACGTACTGCTGCACGTGCTGGGTAAGGGGCTGGCGGAGGGCCTGGGCCAGTGTGGTGCCCAAGGAGCCCTCACAGCCCATGCCTGTCAGGATCTGCCGTAGTACCTTCTGTCGTCCACGCCAGTACACACTGTGTGCAGAGAGAGTCACACACCACCTTCACCCAACCCTCCATTCCCACACCCACCTCCATCACCTCCCTGCCAGGACTACTCCCCCAGACACCAGGGCCAGCCCCAGACTCCAAACCTCTACTCTATCAGACCAACACGGTGCCTGAGGTGCCTCTCCTGGGTTTAGTAGTAGCAGCTCAGCTTGGGAAGGGATCCCGATTACAATCATCCACTCTGAGTAGGAACACCCTCCTTTCCTGCCCCAGAGCTACCCTCAAAAGTGGGTGTCTGGATTCTGCTCCTGGCCTCACCAGCCCCCTCTCTCTCTCCCATTGTACATTGGGTAGGTTTGTTAGAGCAGGAGTCCTTCAGGATGAGGGGTGGGCTGTGCTACCTGCTGCTACGGCAATGGGGACACCCCACCCACCCCAGGGTCCTCTGCAGTAGCAGCCCTGTGCTCACCTCTTGCTCTTTGCCACCTTGTGGAAGGCCTGTACCACCAAACAGCTCGTGTAGGACTCGATGTACCTGCAGACAGCACAGGGGCACACCCTGAAAGCTCAGCCTCCACCTCCAAACCCAAGCCACCACCCTGTGGGGTCCACAAATGCCACCCTTGGAGTAGCTATGCCTTTAGGGTCTGGCTCTGGGCACGGGTGACCTCCAGTCCTCACCCACAAGACAGCTGACTCACAGTTTTGTTCCCAGTGAGGCCCCAGGGCTCATTTCTCGAGTGTCCAAGCCTGTCACCATCAGGCAAACATCCAAGCCCAGGTGAGCCCCACCCCAGGTGAGCCTTAATGCCAGGGGGTACTCTGACACCAAGGCCATCTTGGTGGTCTTACTCCATGTGGACCTGCATGACGAGGTCAGCACTGCGCAGCAGCAGCAGGGACTCCAAGCCAAAGGAGCGCGGGTGGCGCTGCCTCTCCCACAGGGAGTACAGACTCTCCTCAGTCACCTCCCCTAGTTGCTGGGAGCTCTTGTGCAGCTGTTGAAGGAGCCGCAGGCATTCTCTGTCCTGGGGATCTGAAGACTCTGGGTCTGGGGAGGGAGCACAGTCACTCTGTGAGCAGTGGACAGAGCCCTGTGCTGTAGAAGAGTCCTGCATGTCTGGGGTCCTGGGACAGGATTAGTGCCCTCTAGAGCTCATCAGGGGAAGGGCAGGCTGGAGCAGCCCAGAGCACCCTCAAGGAGTGGATGTGTCTATCTCCTCACTAATCAAGATAACCCTGAGAATCCAGGAAACTGAATATGCTAATTCTCCCTGAGTCTCTGAATTCCCCAGGACTTCTCACATCCATAATGTGGAGTCTATAGGGTCAGCAGTCACTCCTGGGCCATTTCACAAAGAGAGCCCCAAGAGGAAGGTACCTGCCCAAGGTCACTTAGCAAGTAAGACTCAAGATGGAAGTAAAACCCAGGCATCTGGGAGCTGGGGCTGGGGCTCAGTGGTAGTGCACTTTCCTGGCATGTGTGAGGCACTGAGTTCAGTTCTCAGCACCACATATAAATAAATAAAGGTCCATAAACAACAACAAATAGGCATCTGCCTTCTCATCAGGGCAGGCACCCTTGGGTGGGAACAAGATGAAAACCGGGGCAGAGGGTCATCTCCAGGCCTATGCCCTGGGAGAAAAGGAATTTGATCTCTATGCACAGAAAGATGTAGGCTTCAACCCAGGGTCATGGTCTGGCCTCTTAGGACTCCTGTAGGAATTAGGAGCAAGGACTCCAGTTCTTTCAAAAGATACCAAGAGTCACTACTCCATTTCATACTGAGAAAACTACGGTTGGTTCAGAGGGTGCAACAAGGTTGACCTCTTGTCCCTGGGGCCATCCTATGTCCCTTGCCCTTCCCACAGAGTGCCTAGACTCACCGGTGGAGAGCAGAGGCTGGAGAATAAGGTTGTTGATGCGGGCAAGAGTGGCTGAGAAGACCTCCTCCAGCCGCAGCAGGGCCGCCTCCTCAGGGCCGCACATGACCAGGGTGCTGGTTTCAGGGTCTCCTAGGTAGAGCACAGATAAGAGCCAGACAGGATTAGCAGGACTGCCAGGAGCACAGGTCATCTCAAGGGCTTTCTGAACTGGCCACTGATGTCTGCCCTATTCTCGGACTGGGCAAGCTTAGGGGGATGGAAGGAGTGGGAGAGAGGGCTCAGCTGCCCAAGGAAGCATCCCTTTCTACCCAAAAGGGCACGTCCTCTTCAAGCTCATTTCCCTGCTCAGACACCAGCCATGGATCCCAAGTGCCCAGGGTACTATGTAGTGGTGCTCTGACCTAGCCACCTTTCTACTGAGGGATGCTGCCATCTCTAAAAACAGGGACATGTTGTCAAAGGCCATGGCTCTGGGCTCCCTGTCACCCAACAGTGTTGCATAAGCCAGGAAAGGTCTGATAGAACAGGGGAGCCATGGCAGATGGGTAAGAAATGAAGAAGATAGAACACAACACATAGATTGAAGAACATGAGAGTGCAATCCAGCTTCTGAAGGTGGCCCATCAAGCAGCACCCTAACTGACCAACAGAGGAACCTCACTTTACCTCTGTAAACTGCAGAGAGCCACAGAGAACTCAGAACAATGTAGTGGTAGGACCAAAGTCACACTTTGGGAGATGAACTTGGTGATAGTTGCAGAGATGGTGCTCAGCAATGAGAAAGGTCAGCATGGAGAAGAGCCCAGACCCTCTTTGCCCCCCCAAACAGGTTGAGCCTCCTGGGTAGGTCCCACTCAAGAGGTGGGAGCTGCTGGAGTAGACAAATAGGTAGGCTTCAGCCTTAAGGCTCCCTGCATGGAGGGAGGGCCTCCAAGCAAGCAGGGGTCACCTGTGAATGCAGTGTCTTGGCTGGAGGGAGAGGCAGTGGGAGGTCCTGGCCTTAACCAATCCCCACAGCCACACTGTGGCCTCTAAGCCTTCCCCCACCAAACATTGATGCCCTCACCCAGCAAAGAAGTTCATCTTCCCAAACAACCTGGTCCAGTACCTCAGGGTAGAAAGGGAGAGGGCCTTTTGGCCCAAGGCCTCAGACTGCCTCTCTCCCTGGTCCTGACCCTTTGAGGCTTTGGAATTGGCAGACCTGGGGTAAGAGACATCATCCGAGCAGTCAATGATGGGCAGACCCAAAAGGGCAAATGGGAAGGGGTCTTACCTTCCCCAACCAACCCCAAGGATGCCATGGGGTGTCACAGGCCCTGGTAGAGCCTAGGACTCCGGCAGATTTGGCTCTGGAGCAGAGTTGTGTGGGTGCTTCAGAACTCTGGCCCAGGGCCTGGCCCAGGCATTCCTGCCCCACCTTTCCTGCTGCTGCTGCTTTGGGAGGGTGAGGCTTCGGGAGGGAGAGGCAGGAAGAGGAAGCAACTAGACAGCCAGCTGCAGCCACTTCTGCCGGTCTCTGTGGCAGCCCCAGTCCCAGGGACATAGGGGGCTCCAGGCAGACCAGGAGAGCCTAGTCAGGGATTTCAGGATTGGCAAATGTGTCCTGGGCCCACATGACCCTCATCCATGTTCCCAGAAAAAAAATGGAATGGATAGTCTATCCCCCTGGCCTTGAACTACTCTGATGCAAGACACAGACCTCAGTTGCTCCCCCAGGAGAGGCTTCTCTACCCAGTCCAAACTAGTCACCCCTCAAAATTACAAAGTGTGGAGCAAAGTTTCACTGAGTGTGGGGAGCCTGTCCTCAGCTCCTCACTCCCCAAAGTAGCCAAAAATCACTATAGACTCAAATTGATAGCCACTAACTCTGGACACCCTTCTAGGCCCATGGCCACAAATGGATCTCTAACTCTGGGAAAGCGAGTCATACAGCAGAGGAAAGGGCAGAAGTTAAGCACGGTCATGAGGTGGTGGGTGGAGGAGGGCTGCATTGGGGGCTGGGAGCCTGGTGTGGTGGCTCCTAGGGGAGAGGCCCTACTCTCAGGCCAGGGAGTTTTGAGATTCATCCTGGAAGTTATGATAAGGATGTGAGGGTAAGGGTGAGGCCAGGCATGAATGTGCATGAGTGTGTGCATCCGCAGGGGAGGAGGGGCTAAAACTTAACTTGAGGGGGGTGAAACAGGAGTGTTCCCCTCCCCAGCCCTAGCCCTACCACCCATTCCACACCTTTCTGCTCAAGAGCATGACCTCCTCACCTTCTCCCTCCCTCCAGTTCAAAGGTTCTTCAGCTGCAGGCTATGCAGGATTTATAGATGGGAAAACTGAGGCCCAAGAAAGATGGGAGGGTCCAGAGATACCCTGTAGAGCACTTACAAGGCTCAGACCCAGGCCTCTGATTCCCTACCCCACCAAGCTCACCTAAGCTAAGTGGCTCAGAGAGGCTGGGTGACTCACCCAAGGCACACAGTGAGTTCCTGGCAGGCCCAGCCTGGTGTTTTGTCCCCAGGAGACTTGAAGGGGTGGGGTCAGGACAAAACTGGCCAGTCCTGGCATGCACAGGTGAATCAACTACTGCCCCTGTGGCTCGCTGGCTCTCCGCATTCCTGGCCTCTGTCCACACCAACCTGCTTCCAAGCAGGGTCCCTGGGGCTGCCCTGCCTTCTCCCAGGTCTGGCTCCTCAGGCCCCTTAGCCGCACCCTGTCATGGCACTCACTCTGGTATTTCCTGGTCTGGACAGGCAGGCTGTTCTGCCTGCTGTGCAGGCCTTTTCCTGGGTTGGCCTGGAGGCCCCTTAATCAACCAGCAACCCCAGTACAGAAAGCGACTGCCCAAGGGAAGTGCAGGGAACTGTCACACCTGCCACTCACAATCTCCACCCCCTCCTCTCCCAGCAGCACCAGTCCTCCGCCCTCGGTGCTCCAAGCTTCTTGCTCTGGAAGTCTCTTGGCTCTGCAGTCCAGCTCTCCTTCCTCTGCCTGTCCGGGCACACTCAGGTCACTGGAGTTTCACGATTCTGTTCCAGCCGTCGTGCATTTGTCCACACGGTTCCCAGGCGGGCAACACCACCATCTCAGCTTCTCTGTTAGGCCCTTCAGCCCGGGGCCAGCCAGTATCACCTCCTTCTGGCAGCCTCCTGCAAAACAGTCCTGGCCAGGGCCCTGGACACTGTGCTTGTGCTGTGCTCGGCCCCGTGGGGCTGTCCCCGCCCTGTCCCTAATCCGGAGCCGGGTGGCCACGAGGCAGGTATTACATCTCCAGAAACCTCGCTGGGGCGGAAATTGGGGGGATCTTCAGACAAACTTGGATGGACTGCCCGGGTGTGAACGCAGCAGGAGTCAGAGTCGCGCAGGGACCGCGACCTAGCGGCCAGGGGATTCGAGGGCACCCACCCCGACAAGCAGAGGCTCGGAAGCGGACCCCGCCCCCAGACCCGCGCCCTTACCTGGCGGGGCGGGCGCCTCAGGAGAACCGGCGCAGCTCCTCGCAGCCCGCACGCCGCAGCCGGCCCCGCCCCTCCAGGGGAGGGGCTCGGGGTGGGGCTCGCGGGGAGGCGGGGCCGGTGTCCCAACTACCTGCGCCAGGGGTCTCTCGCCTGGTCTTCGGCGACTGCTGGGCTCGGAAGGCGTCAGGCGGCGCCGACGGAGGTGGCGCCCCGCTCTGGCCTTGCGCCCGCCCCTCTCGCACCCCACGTCCCCACCCTGGCCCGCCTCTCCTGGCCTCCTCCAAAGACTCCGAGGACGGCCGGCAGAGTTCCGGAGGCGGTTACGGTTTCCTCGCCCACGGATTCTGGCTCTCTGCAGCCCGGTTTACAGCCCAGTGACACTGTTGACCCGCTCTGAGTCCCCAAGGTCGCCCCAAGCGGAGCACTGGGTGGATTCGTGAAACTTTGAGCCTAGAGAGGATTCAAGCGAGCTACTGAGCTAGGCGTCCTCCAGCCACTACTCCTGTCTGGGCGACCTTGGGGAAGGTCCCCTGCCCCCACTTCCCGTACAGCGGTGAGCTAGCCCGCAGTTTTTGAAGCCAAGGCCTATGACCTTGAAAAATGTGAGGGAAGACTAGTCACGACAGATCTTCCTGGAGGAGGAGGGCTGTGGTTCAAACCTGTAACAGAAATCTGCTGCCTGGTTCCCCTCTGTCTTCAGTGGTTGAGCTCCACGGGCTGACCAGCCTTGTTGAGCTACCTCTGCCCTTTTGGAGGGCCATGAACACAGCAAAGAGGCCTAGAGTCTACAGGTGGGCTGTGGGAGGGCAGAAAGGATGACTCACCAGCCCCCTACTCAAGTCTGAGACAGTAAGTGGCAGGATCTCCTATCCAGCCAGGCTGAAGAGAGACCCTACTGGAGGTAATTTGGGGCATGGAGCCTGCCAACCCCAGCTACCCTGGCTTCCTTGGGTTGTTTCTAGATGAGACCTAAAGTTCTGCCAAGCTATAATACTCTCAGGCTTGGAGGGATCCCTGCCTTGGGTGACCCACAAGCTTCCAGGGACCCTACCCTCTGCTCCCATATTGCTGTCCTGGGTCCTCATCCTCAAGAGCCCTCCCCAAACAAGGAGGCCCTGCCTAGGCTGCTCACCTATCTCAGGGAATTAGTCAGGTGTGCCTCAGGGTGTTGCCAGTGGTTGGCAGGGGCCTGCCCCAGGGTCTCCCTGAGTCTACAGCATGGCCAGGTGGAACCGCAGCCCAGCAGGTGGAAATAAACTGAGGCTTCAAGTTCTAAACAGGCCTCCAAAGCCTTATCTGTGGGCCCCCATGTGGGAGACAGGAGTGTTCTGGAAAGAGGCTTGGTGTGGGAAAACTTGCATTACTTTCTTCTTGCTGTATGGCCATGGGCTACTCTGTTACAGGGTTATGTGGGACTCTGCCAGAAGACATGTCAGATTCTAGATGAGTAAGATTTTTAGTGGGTCTACAAGTCCCCTAGGACATGGGTGCAGGCAGGCAGGGGTCTCTGGGGCTTGTAGGAGAGGGCAAGGACTAGAGAGTGGCCATAATCTCATGAGGAGTGAGTGACCTGATGATCTGTGAAAAAGGGGTGGATGGGGCAGGGCCCTGAGCAGGACCTATCTGGTCTTGTGCCAGGTGTCTCTGGGTCAGCCCCTCCCCTCTCTGGGCCTCAGTTTCCTTGCCTATACATGTATTGAGGGAGGGCATTGCTTCCTGGTCTCCAGTAGAAGAGCTCTCTCAGCTTCCTCCCCAGAGTGTAGACTTCCTGTTCAGCCACATAGGGAGATTGGAAGGCTGAGCCCTGGACTGGAGACCAGTGTCTTCATCAACTTCCTGGGCAATCTCACAGGCATTGCAAACCCCCTGTTATCATCTGCCAAGAGGGGCAAGACTTAACCAGTCTCTCCAAGTTCATCCTTGGCTTGGGGCCAGACAAGGCCTCACAAGGCTCACAGACAAGGCCTGTGAGCCCCAAGACAGGCTCCACTGGGTCTACCTGCCTGTGGCCCCTTTCAACACAGTGCCTCTGCCTATCCCCTCACAGATGTTCACACACACACAATTCCACAGTCAGGGGATGTGGTGCCATGTGGACCCATCCACTGCTAAATCCACTGGCAAACTGCTGTGCTGCCCAATTCTATAGTGGCAGCTCCATTTATGGGCACACGTGTACAAATCATGTGTTCATCTACAATGACACAGACTGAAACTGACTGCTTTAGAGGACACACATGCATGTATCAGTGGTGCCTATGATTCTGGAGACACAGAGACTAACACCCCAAAACAGGCAGAGCTATGTGCACTATGCAGGCACTCTCCTGTATGTTAGGTTCTTGACACACAAGCATAAGCTCATGAGCATGCAGGTTTGATCCAGACCTGGCCCAGTTCAGCCTCAGAGCTATTCTGGGCCAGGCCCTGGGCCAACAAGTACAGAGGCAGCCACCTCTCAGCAGGCCCCAGCCCCTATGTCACAGGCCTAGGCCATCCATCTCCAACCCCTATCCCAGGCTGAGTCCATGATGCCCTGGATCCCAGCATGCCTCTGTGACTACCCACATCTTCCCTAGAAATCAACCTCCATCCCAGGGGTTTCAGGCTCCAGGAGAGAACTATTTACTTGGGTTCCCTGGTCACTACCCACTGCCTTGCCCAGAGCTTCCAAATCAGAGGCCCTGGAGGCTGGAATGGGTCACTGCAGGAAACCCACATGAGCTAAAAATAGTACAGGAAGGCCTGGCATATCATGCAGGCCAATATTCATATCACCATGTATGGAGGGGACACTGTGTTCTAGGGAGGGGACACTGTCTTCTGGGAACCAGGCTGGGGAATCTGGGATCCAGAGCTTCCCCTCCCTAGACTTGATGGACTCAACCAGGGGTTGGGTTCTGGGGCATTTTTAAAAAAGAACAAAAAAAAAAAAAAAAAGAACAGAACAGAACAGCCCAGGGAAGTAGGCAGAGCTTTGTGTTAGAGGCAGAAGACTGAGATGAAGGCCCAATCTCCTGTTGAACTCAGACAGGGCCCAGCTCCTCTCTGGGCTTAATTCTTCATAAGAAAACAGAGGACACTAATAATCACATCAAATGCTGAAAATCCCTCAAAGACTTTAGCTTTAAACTTTAGGAAGTTTATTCAACATATTTAATATTGGAGAATTGGAAACAACCAAAATATCCAAGCATTGGTTAAACCAGGAATTGTTTGGTTTTTATATGGTACACCATATAAGTGATAGCAATAATCATAACACTAGCATCCTCCAAAGGCTTATGATATGCAGGTGCCAAGGTGCTGTAATTATACCTATGTTATATATAAGGGTTGACGCTCAGAGGGCTAAGAGCAGAGGCCTTGTTCCAGGTTAAGCTTCACTGAGAGTTCACAGCTGTGTAATCTTTCCCAGAAATCTTGGTGCAGTTTTAAAGTTAATACCTTCAGAAATTGTGAAGAATAAAGCCATGAATTTGCAAGAAACGTAATTTGGAATTATTTAAATTTTCATTATGTTAATTAGATTTTGTGAACTCTGAATAACTTTTACAATTTTTTTTGACAACTTTTGCCTTCTTGGGGCAAAAAGAAAAAGGAAATTTAAATAATTAAACTTTCAAATGGTTTCTTATAAATTCTTAGCTTTATGTCTAAGGTTATTAAAGCTTAAAACCATAACAAGGCTTTCAGAAGTCAGTTTGACTTTGAAGCCTATGTGATAATATTATATTTGATTCTGTGTGCATGCGCATACGCTGGGACAAGCGATCCGGGGTGCTTGTGTTGGGTAAAAAGCTTCAAATACAGCCACGCACAGTAGCGCATGCCTGTAATCCCAGTGATGCAGGAAGTTGAGGCAGGAAGATCACAAGTTCAAAGCCAGACAGACTCAAGTAATTTTGCAAGGTCCTGTCTCAAAATTTAAAAAAGAAAGAATGGGGCTGGAGTTGTGGCTCAGTGGTAGAGCACTTGCCTGGATTTGATCCTCAGCACCACATATAAATAATAATAATAAAAAGATCCATTTACAATTAAAAAAAATTTTTTTAAAGAAATTTTAAAAAAGAGCTGAGGATGTGACTTAATGATCGAGTGTTACTGGGTTCAATTCCCAGTACAACCCCTGCCCCCTCCCAAAAGCTTTGGAACAAAGGCTTATGAGATAACACACTGTGATAACACAGGTTCCAGACCCTGCAGAGAAGTGGAATCTACAAGGAACAGTGACATCTCTGGGAACAGCAGGATCACACATGATTGTATTCCTGTTCAGATTTCTTTACTGGCTTGCCCTACTTCCTGATGGACAGAGAAAACTGTTAACACCTCTCCCTGAACTGCAAATGCAAATGGGAACCCTGTAAACTGCAGAGAGCTGTGTGTCCCACCAAGGAGAGTGAATTCAGGAGTTCATGTCATCCTCACATGAGTCCTGCGATGGGTCTTGTCCTCCATATTTCACAGATGAGGAAACAGAGGCAGAGAAGAGTAATGGTTTGCCCAGTGCCACAGACAGGCTCACTTAATCCTGACCCAATTCAGCCTCTCTGAACCCATGCCCCAAGGGTGACCTCCTTGGCTGACTTTCCCTAGCCTGGCCTGTGGCTGATGGCCTGAAGAAGTGGGGGCCAGAGAGCTGTCACCAGTAATTTGGGCTTCAGAGGAATTCCTGTTTGTTTTGGCCAGGGTTTGCCTGATTTGGGTGGAGTAGCCCAGCCCACTCTGTCCCCCAGACTTTTCACCCATTGTTAAGGGTCTCCTCAATAGGTCCCCTGGGCCAGCTGTCCATTTTCCTGCCTGTCCTTTCATCTACAAGTCCTGATATACAGATGTCTGCTGTTGACCCTCTGCTCCCTGTTGAAACTTGTGTTGGAGAATTGGAAACAACCAAAACATCCAAGCATTGGTTGAACCAGGAATTGTTTGGTTTTTATATGGTACACCATATAAGTGACAGCAATAACTCTAACACTAGCATCCTCCATCTATGGCACTCCTAGAGTGAAGCCCCAAGAGACTCTGGGTGCACATAGTCCCCAGTTGTGAGGGCAGGCCTTGCTGAGGGGAACCAGCCCCCTCTCTCCCCTGGCCTAGGCAGGTCTGCACTGGTGTCCTTGATGATAAGAGACCTGAGCTGCTTCTCCTAGAACCAAGTAGGCAGGAGATAAATAGTAATGGAAAGAAAAAGGAGGAAGGGTGAGGAGGAGTCTCCCCACTCCAGGACTCCCTACTCCTCTCCCCCAGGACTCCACAGCTCCTCAGAACCTCCCTCTACCACTGAGTTGTCAGGGCCCAGTGTGGGATCAGAACCAGAGTGCAGTGTGGGCTAACTTCAGTGGGGGGTCAGGGTCAAGGTTTAAAGTCAGAGTCAAGGATCTAGCTGGGGCAGAAGCTGTAAGTCAACCATGGTTAGACAATGGCCCTCCAGCCCTTCCAGGGGTAGCCGACCCTAATCTGTGGGATATAAGGTACTGATTCCTTCCAGAACCTTCCACTGCACCAGCAGCTGGTGGCTCTGACCATGCCATCCCCTGCTCTCCATTCTCTCCTCCAGCTCTGGTGTCCAGGGTGACCAGAGCTGCCTCTGGGCAGGAAGCCAGCCCAGAAAGCCCAGGACATCCCTGAGTGCCTGTCACCATGGCAACATGCCCGCTTTGCCCCCCCTAACCCAAGTCCAGTATGTTTTTTTTTTCAAATCAAGAACGTCAGAATGGGAAGGGCCTAGTAGATCAGCAGATTCCTGTCCCTCCCCCTGACCAGATGGAGAAACTGAGGCCAAATGGGAAAGGGCCGGAACACCTGTTGATTAAGCATGGGCTCCCAGCCTGTTCTCCTCCCTCTCCCCTTCCCCTACACCCCCACTTCAGGGTCGGGTTGTGGGGTCTGGAGTCTGGTCTCCCCCCCACTCCTCTCCCCTCCCCTTCACAATGACGGTGCGGGCTGCCGCCCAGGAACCTGACGCCAACGATGAATAAATGATGCCCGGGGTGGCCAGAGCTCGCCGCCAAGGTCCCCAAGCGCCGGCTGTCCGGGGGGCGGTCACCGGGCATCTCCGCGCTGCCACTCGCTCCCGGATCTGCAGCGGAGCACGCGCGGCGGGAGGAGATGGCGGGGCGGCGGCGGCGAGGCGCGGGGCCCCTCTGGGCGATGGGCGGCGCCGCGCTGGGCTTTTGCCTCTCGGGGGTCGCCGGGCAGCTGGTGGAGGTGAGGCACAGCATCGCGGAGGGCACGGGGGACCGTCACCGTGCAGGGATGGGGTGCGGGGTGGTGATTTTATCCATCTCTCTTGCCCTAGGAGACCTGGCCTAATGAGTGGACAGCCCCACCCCGATGGCTGCCAGACTTTGAGGGAGACTCAGCCCTCACTCGGGGGCCCTGGTCTGACGGGAGGTCACTGGCCTCTGATTTCCTGAACGTCATTCTGATAAGGGAGTCTCACCCTAATCTGAGGGATTCCTAATCCAGCTGGGGACACAGCCCTGTCCAGTGTCACAGGGAACACAGCCCTATCTTCCCATCTGTGAACTCCTGGTGTGGGGGTGCATGCACCTGGCCCTAGGTTTCCTTGACCTCTAGTTTGGTGGGGCGATTCAGACCCTGAATTTAGGGTATTCTAAAGGAAACAGCCTCTGCTTTAGAAATCCTCCAGGGACTCTTGGGGGAGGCATAGGCTTGGGAAGGAGATGAAGGCATTCCAAGCTGGAGGGTGGTGGCAGCAGGATGAGGAGACCCTCTGTGAGCAGTCATGTACAACACTAAGCTCAGGAGGGAAGGGGCAGGTAGTGCCTAGGAACTTGGGGACCAGACTGGGTCCTGGTGATAATGGGGAGCTACAGAAGGTTTCTGAGGGAGAGCAGGTCATGATGAATTCTGGTTTGGAAATAAATTAGAAGGGGGCACATTATGGGAGAGCTGAGAGCACTTGCTGAGATAGCCCAGGAAGAGGAAAGGGGATGGCTGGGGGTGGTTGGTTTAGGAGTCTGGCTGGAGTCTGCAGCCTCTCTGGTCTCCTCTGTACCCCATTCCTGCAGAGCTTGGAAGGGGAGCCAGAAAGGGAGATGGCAAAGCAGACCTAGAATTCTGGAGCTTGAGGCCAGATAGAGAAGACCCAAGATTAGGGAGAGCTAACTCACAGCCAGGGAGGAGCTAGGGATGGAGCCTGTGTGCACGGGGCAGCCTGGAGGGGACAGAAAGACCAAACACCGGAGGGTGAGAGAGGCCCCCCGGGGAAGGACCTGAGGGAGGTGTTAGGGGACAGGATAGGATAGGAAGGACAGGATAGGGATCTGAAAGGACCCGACCTGAACTGGATGATGGGGGGGGGGCATGGGGACAGAGATATCACCCAGAGCAGCCGTACCTGCTGCTGATTAGGAGGTATGACCAAGAAGCCTGCTAGAGTCGGGTGTCAGCTCCAGTGTCTCTGTAAGAGGAGCCAGGCTGGCTTGAGCCCCATTAAGCACACCATGGCCCCTTATCAGCTACCCTAAAGCCCCAGTATCGAAATTGAGCTGGCCAGGGTGCAGACAGAAGGCTGGGGCAGGGATCAAGTCAGTTCTGAAACAAGGACTCTTCTCCCCCACCTCTAGGAACTCTTCTTCCCGCTCATCAAAGGAAATTGCATTTGGAATCCATCTGCCTACAACCCAAGCAAAGCCTAGCCTATCCCTCCAGGGAAGCACTTGAGAGATGTGCAGGGCTGAAGTCTATGTCACCACCCACCCCATTCCTGCAGGCATCACCTCATCAGGCTGGGAGGTTCTGAGGGAGGCAGGGCCTTCAGGCTTCAATTCAGACCCTCAGTAGGGCTTGCCATGTGGCGATGCCTGGCTATTACCTGCTACCCTCTGCCCAAGACCCCAGTGCAGAGAGTGTAAGCCCAGATCCACCCACATCAAGGATGGGGTGAGGATATGTGGGAGTTGAGCTCTTCGCTGCCTTGACTCAGAATCTGGGAACTTGACTCTGTTCTTCTGGGTCCTCCAGTCATACAGCTCAGCCAAGTCAACACATCAGACCTTAGATATTGGGAACACTGCCATTGCCAAGACCCTGACCCTAATGCCACAGAGATGAGCCTGACCATACCCACATGTGCTCCAGCCACACACGGTCTCCAATTCAAGCATTTGTCTGACCTCATACCTACATCCAGGGGATGATGTGGAGGAGTGGCATCTTCTTGTTATCTTTACCATCAGGTTAGGTAGAGAGAGTTCCCCCAGAGACTTCTGGAACTACCCCACACCAATTACAGGTAGAGAAACTGAGGGCCAGAGGAAAGACAGCCCCCACCTCAGTTCAACCTGGCAAGGGCAAAAAAAAAAAAACAGGGATCAGGTACAATCTCAGGCCCACAACCTCTGGGTTACCAGAGGATCACAGCCTGCTGATCCTCTCCAAGTGGCTCCCACCCATGCCAAAGGGTGGTGTTCATTAGGTGAGGGAGTGCTTGGCTAATGGTAGGTGCCCAATCCACATTTGTGGTTGGGGTTGGGGGAAGAGTCGATGGGTGGTTGAGTGATAGATTGTCTTTCCTTCCCAGAGAGCCCAAAGGGAGTCCTCAAGTCTGTCTTTATTGGGTTAATCAGGGGACAATATATCACACAGATTCCCCAGAGTCCTCTCTCCCTCTAAGCCATGATCCTTACTCTTGCTCCTCAGCCAAACTGTTGGCAGAGATATGGTCATATATATCCCTTTCTAGTCGGGACAGGTTTTGCTCAGATTGCACAGGGCAGGGCTGTGTCCCCTGGTCACCCAGGACAGAGTCCTATCCCTTCAAGATGCCTAGAGCAGGGTCATCATTAGACACACTGGACAAAGTCATGTCCCCTCAAGACACCCAGAGCAAGGTTATGTTCTCTAGACATCCAGGAGAACATCACATCCCTCAAGACACCCAGGGCAGGGTCATATCCTCTAAACACACTGGACAAATTCATATTCCTCAAGACACCCAGGACAGATCCATGTACCCTAGACACAAAGGATAAGGTCACATCCCTCAAGACGTTCAGGGCAGGGCCATGTCCCCCTAGACATACAGAACAATATCATACCCCTCAAGACACCCAGGGCAGGGCCATGTCTTCTAGATATCAAGGACAAAGTCATAGCCCTTTAAGACACCCAAGAGAGAGCCATGTCCCCTAGACACCCAGGACAAGGTCATGTACCCTCAAGACACCCAGGTGAGGGCCATATCTCCTAGACACACAGGACAAGGTCATGTCCCTTTAAGTCACCTAGGGCAGGGCCATGTCCCCTAGATACCCAGGACAAGATCATGTACCCTCAAGATACCCAGGGTAGGGTCACGTTCCTTAGACACCTGGAAAAGGATCATGTCCACCTGTACTCTGGGATAAGACTGTGTCCTCTAGAAACCTAGGATAGGGTAGTGTCCCCTAGACCGTAGGGCAGTCATGTCCCCAGACCCTCCGTGCAGGGTGCTGTCACACTGAGAAGATGGGAGGTGACTGGCTGTATTCTGCTAAGCTGTGCTTACATCTTTTGGCCTCCAGGTGTCACTACTGCATTACAGACAATTTACATATCTAGTCCTCTCTGGTGAGCCTTCTGGTTAGTGACTCCCAGTAGCACAGGCAACTGTATGGGGACACCTAGTGGGGATCCTGGTGAGGTGGCAGAGCAGTAGAGCCCTGATTCAGCTCCACTGGGAAGACAGGAGAAGGAAGCCAATTCAAAGTGAAATACAGGCCTGGTCTAGGCTCTGGCCTTGGTCCTGAGACCCCAGCTGCCTGTGGGAGGCCTCCAACTGGATAGTAGGAGGTGCCTGAAGAGGCCTTGAACCTGGCAAGGACAGGCTGGCTGCATTTGTTCCTTTAGGCCTTGGTTTCCCCAAGCATCAACCACCCTCCCACTCCAAGACCCAGGCACCATAGCCTGGGACTCTGTTTTGTTGTTCTAAGTATGGAATTTCCCACGGTCTAAGGTATTGATGGTGAATATCTAAGACACCTGATTTTAGGGGCTTCTGATATGCATGGCTGACACCTGGGCCTCTCTTGGCCCCATACAGTCTATGACTTCTGCCTGGCTCACTCCTCTCTCTCCTGACCCGCAGCCTAGCACGGCACCCCCCAAACCCAAACCACCCCCACTGACCAAGGAGACGGTGGTGTTCTGGGACATGCGCCTGTGGCACGTGGTGGGCATCTTTTCACTCTTCGTACTGTGCATCAGTGAGTAACTGCTCCCTGCCCTCTCTACCACACCACAGTAGGAGCACAGCTTCCCCTGCCCCAGCACCCCAGCCCCTCCAGCACCACCCCTCAGGCTCAGAGCAGCAATTCCGGGCAGTGCAAGCAAGCCAGGCACCCACAGGAGGCCCGCTGTGGTTTCTGGCACCTCCCGATCCACACAAAGTCCCCATGGAGGGCTGACGGGCCAGTGGTGACCCAAAGATTTCTGCTGGACCCAGGGAGGCAGCCACACAGCAATTACAATAATTACAGGGAGCTCCGGTGAATCGAGGACGTGTCATTTTCCCCTATGGCTGGCCTCCTGATGCTTTTCCTGCAGTTTGGCCAGCTTAAAGGGCCCACACCCAGGGGCCCCAGCAAGGCCAACCTCCACCAGAGGTTCCCCAGACGCCTAGCAGATGTGGATCCCAAACTTCAAATCCTGCCTGGTCAAATACCATTTCCCGGAATGACTCACACCCGCCCATCTCTAGTCAAAGCAGGAGGCCCTTTCCTCTCCTGGGGTCTGGGCACTTCTTGATGCAAAGTCACAGCCAGAGAGGCTTGGCATGCTCCCTTCAGTCCTCCTCCTGGAATGAGGGTCTGGAACTTGGGAGGGTGGGCAGCAAATTGCATGAAATGCAGGCCAGGTGGGAGAGTGTGCCAGGCACAAAGCAGAATCTGACAGAGGTTCCCACAGAGCCAATGCATGGGGTAGCGGGTATTTGCAAACAGTAAAGGGAGAGGAGGCCCACTCCCCCTGCAGACTCATAGAGGAGGGTCCTCTGAGCTGCAGACCAGAGGGAGGCCTGGTGGGCATTTGCCAGGTGGAACAGCTGGAAAGGCATTCCATGCAGAGGAGATGGTATGAGCAGAGGCTTGTGGAAGTATGGACCCATGCCGGGTCTCAGATAACCCCTATGGGACATCTACTGAGTGCACCCTGGGTGAAGAGGCTAAAGCTGCATTTAAGTTCTAGTCAGAGCTTTCCCCAAAGGAGGTCTCTGGAGGGCAGGAGACCATGGAGAGCCCATCCAGATGTGAGGGGCTCCAAGGAAGGCATGACATCTGATTTGCATCTGCTTCTCCTGGCACCAAAATTACCCTCCAGAGAGCAAATATTCTCTCCTCCCTGATCTGAGTAAGTGGCTGCATGTTGCTCCCAGCTGGGCTGAGGATCAGTCAGGCAGCTTAGTAGAGACCCCATAGACCAATAAGTGTGCCTGCAGCCTGAGCCCAGGTATCCAGAGAGGGAGACCAAACTTAGCACAAAGAGGCATCTGCCTTGAGGAGGCCCAGGAGCAGTAGATGCAGGTGGAGGGAGCCGCTCTGGGATGCCCCAGAGGGCAGGGTAAGGGAACTGTGGAGCCTGGTGGAAAGAAAATTGTGCAACATCACACTCAAAGAGGCACTAGGACATCAACCACACAGATATCCCCTCCCCCAAGCCCAGGTCCTAGAAAGGGTGAGGGAGAGTCCCGAAGGCCCCTGAGCAGAAGATCAGCACATGTTACCCTCTGCTGTACAGCTCTCGTGAGTGGGGAGGAAATATCTTCCCTGCTTTCTAGTCTCCTTAGGCCCAGGCAGCTGTTAATGGAGCATGACCTCTAGAACCCCAGAGGGAGAGAAGGTTCTCCCTAGCCCCTGAAATTGTATCCCAAATCCCTGCCTGGGCCCTGGAACTCAACCCAAACTACTTTGTTTCTCCTCTTCTTTTAAGAGAAGCACCAGACCAAGCTGGGTGGGGCAGGCCTGGAGAGAAGAGCAGGGTGTGAGGTCCACTTGTCTGCCAGCAACTGGCTGCCAAGTTCCCTCTGAAGCCCCGGCTCCCAGAGCCTGGAACCAGCCTCCATGGAGCCAGAGTGGGGTTGGTCCTGAGGGGTACCTGGTGGGGTAGCTAGGAAAGGTAGCCCAAGCCAGTAGAGTTAAGATGGGGAACCAACAGAGCATGCCCAAAGGGGTCTGGAGAAGACAAGAGCATGGCTCTTTGAGTAGCTCTTTGGGTAAAAAAGTTCTGCTGTCTGCTCAGGTCTACCCATGGAGACCCACTGCGGAGGCCCTCATGCCACAGTTCTTCACCTCCAGTGTATGCCTGGATATTATTGAGCCCCCAATCCATTCATTCAGGAGCCCAGTCCTGTCCCCAGAAACAGACTTTAGGACCATCCCATTTGTTCATCCATTTTGTTTTTTTTCCTCTCTCATTCTGTGAGGCTGGATGATACCAGCGAGACCATAATAGTTGGCTGAAGGGACACTGCCTTGGTTGCACAAGATGACCCCAGAAGGTTTTCCAGCCCAGGTTACATAGGTCTGATCCATTTCTCCAAAATGGGCCTGGCTTGTCCTGCCTGGGCCCTTCTATCCCCGCCCCCACCCCCCCACACACACACCCCCAGGAGTCTGCCAGGAAGTTCTGTCTGGTCAACTGATTTATAATAGGAACCATTTCCATCCCCTCCCCTGGGGCTGGGGCCAAGGTGGTCAGACTGTGGGGGCCTTACAAAAATAAACTCAGTCCAGCTAGGTCCTGGCAGCCCTCGCCTGCCCTGCCCATCACTAGACAGGCCAGCTCCATGCCCTGACCCAACTAGCGTGGGTGCAGCTGCCCTCAGCCGGAAAACCACTCCTGGATTAACTTGGTCTAAGGTGAACGCCCTGGGCAGGGTCTGGGCCCTCTTACCAGTTCCCTTTCCAGCCAGCAGGGACCCCACTTCTCCTCAGCGTGGCTGAGGAGGATGCAGCCATGTCCTCAGTGTCTGAGGGAATTCTGGCTCCGCTCTCAGAAGCCTGGGGAGGAAAACCTAGTAGGCACAGGAGGCAGCCTCAAGGCCTGGGATGCAGAGGCAGGATGGGCCATGGCTTGAGTCTCCATGTAGCCCTGACTTCTCTTCAGTACTCTGTCTAGCCAGAAAGACCCTCAGAACAGACCAACTACGTAATTTATGGGATCAGTACAAAATGAAGTACCCAAAAGCTCCTTGTTCAAAAGTTAAGAATTTGCCGATAGAGCATTAAGCCAAGCATGGGCATTTCTAAGCGTGGGCCTCATGTAACTGCATGAAGTCTGCTCTGCTCGGGAGGCCACCTGGGAACCCTGGGCTCCACTGGGCTTTTATCATGACGCTGAGCCTCCTGCTGGAGTCTCCTGGGTTAAGACACGCAAAGGTAGATGGAGGCTGGCCAAAGTCTGGGTACCCCTCCTTGGATGTCTGAGGCTCCGCCCCCACCAGGCCTGTTCTCTCCTCCCTACAGTTATCACCTTGTGCTGTGTCTTCAATTGCCGCGTACCACGGACCCGGAAGGAGATTGAAGCCAGGTACCTGCAGCGAAAGGCAGCCAAGATGTACACAGACAAGCTGGAGACCGTGCCACCCCTCAATGAGCTCACAGAAATCCCTGGAGGTGAGTAGGCCCCAGCCCAGGCCCAGTTGCTACCCTATCTCCTCAGTGCTCCTGCCTGGAGTCACCCTGACTTCCCTCCACCCACATTAGGCTCAGGGAGGGGGACCTGCCCTCTCCCAGAGCACAGAAATTGTTCAGATTGAGATGACTAAAACAAAGAGACCATTCCACAACAGGAGAGGTTCCAAAGGAAGAAGGAAGGACAGGGTGGGGGGAAGGAGGCCCTGGGCCCTTCTTCTCAAAGGCGCCCCGGGCCTGGCCACCCACTGCCACCCCACCTGTTCCCACCTACAGAGGAGAAGAAAAAGAAGAAGAAGGACAGTGTGGACACAGTGGCCATCAAGGTCGAGGAGGATGAGAAGAAAGAGGCCAAGAAGAAGAAAGGAGAGAAATGAGGAGGGTATCCTGGCAGGCCCTGGAGCGCATGCCCAAGTCAGGACCCATGCATCTTAAAACGCGGAGCTCCTACATGGACCACAGAGTCTGTAATCAGATGGGGAAGCTGAGGTCATGGCCACATTCTCATGGCCCAACAGGAGCAGGGACGAGACTACACAGGTGTGGGGACTCCCATCCTGCAGTCCCCTCCTTTTTCCCCATCCACACGGGCACTCTCAGTGGGCTACTGTCCTGCAGATGCAGAGTGGCCTCACTGTTCTCTTTACCTAGATTGGCCTTTGTCCCACCCTTTCTGCCAGGGGTAGCTGTGGCTATGAAGAAGTAAAGGGACATGAGGTATATTTCCAGGAGGGGATAGCTGAACTGAATGGGTTGGGGAGTGGCTGACTGAGGACAGGGGGTAGCACTACTGGGGGAGGTGCAGAGCCAGGCAGCAGCCTCCAGGCAAGCAAACTGCCCCAAGCCCGGTAGGGTTCTGACCTGGGGGACTTAGGTGGCCCGGAAGCAGAACCACCCCAGCCCAGCAGATACCAAGCTCAGGACCATGGGATCCACTGGTTTTCCACGTGATGGAAATGAGGCTGTTAAGAGGCTCCGTGAAGCCCAGGGGTTCAGCCCCCTCCAGGCTGGGGACTGCAGGGTGGGACAGAGGTGCAGGGGACTGAGGCCAATGGGCCAGAGAGCAGGGAAGAAAGCTGGGGCCTCAGCCTAGGGAACCAGGGAACATGGGAGAAGACAAAGTGGACACTAAGCTATTGTGGGACCTCTTCTTTGCCTATCCATGGTAGGAGGTTTTGGGGCCCCAGGCAATCACAAGAGGGTTACAACCAGTCTTCCACCTGCTGAGTAGAGCAGCACCCAGCCTCTTCTTTGACCTCACCCCACTAGAGGAAACATCTCTGACCAGAACACAAGGACCCAAACACCACCTGAGGACTAACTCCTTGGGAAGAGGAGGCATAGATGGCAGCAAACATCAGACTGAGGCTCTCAGAGCTGAGCCTGGAGACTAAGGAGATACCCGAGGAGGTTTTGGAGCTGGGCAGCCTTCTGAAAAAGCAGACAGCAACAATCTGTAAATAAAGCTAAGCGCCTTCTCAGGTGCAGGCATGGCACACTGCTCCTTCGACGGCCCCTCAGGAGGCCCCTTCCCTGGGGCACCTGTGCAGAGGGTGGAAATAATAGATGGCTCAGGCCAGGCTGAAGTTCCTCCCTAACCCTTCTCCCAGACTGAATCAAGGTGAGATAAAGATGGCCCAGAGGCCAAGGGGGAAGCTGCAGCCACCCAAGCCCACCCCCTTGGGACTGGCGAGGGGAGGTGTTTGCTTCACCAGGTGCTGGGTTAACAAGGATGCCCCAGTGTTGCTCCACTACACCCCCCAGGGCTTTCAATAGGCCTCTGATGGTCTGAGCTTATGCTGGAGAGTCACAGGTCCACGCTCCTGGCCTGGACCAGGTCATCATCCTACAAGGAGGAGAGCAATCCAGGCCGATATAAGTAAGGTGCATGGGGTCTCAGGAGCAGTGAGGGGACAGAGATGGCAGAAGGCTCCCGGGAAGCTAAGCACTCTGCCACCAGATGGCTACATTTAGCTAGCCTCTGCCTTCAGGGCTCAGCCTATGGGCTTTTCATACATAGGGCTAGCAATGGTCATTCTCCTCATATGGGCCAGGCTGCCCCTGTATGGCAAGGCAATGGAAATCCAGAGGCAGGCATCACTCAAAGTCTGGTGAAGCCTGGGGGTTGTGCATTAGCCCTACCTCTGACCTGGGCCTTCTGCCAATCTTTTATAAAAAGGCATGGCATGCTGAAGGGGATAACATCTGATCCCATGGGCACTGGCCTCTATCTCAAGGCAGGGGACAGGGCTGGAGGGTCAATGCACCATGGGTCTTTAGAACAATGTAAGGGTGTGTTTGGCCAGAAAACAGCCAAAGCCAAGCAGAGCCTGACTCCCACTGCTGTATCACAGGATGAACACCTTCACCTCCAGCCCAGGCAGAGATGCACCCTCACACTAGAGGGGGTTCCTGAAGCCCAGTTTTAGCCTGGGCAATGCATTTTTAGGCTTTCCATTGTTTAACCCCAATATCACTGCTCCTGCCCACTTTCTTCAGAGGCCACCCTCAAACCTTGGAAGGCAGATTCCTGTGGGCTCTGCACTTGTCAGTACCAATTTCCCAGAGTCTTCAACCCCATACCATCTAGCCCACCTGTGTCCCACTAGAGCAGGCACAAGATAAGGCCCTCAGAGGCCAGGGAAGATAAGATATGGAAACGTGTTTAATAGAGCACCTGTCTCTACTCCACCTTGGGGACTGACAGCTGCACCTGTCCAGTACATTCTGGACATGGAGGGGAGGAAGGGGGCTGGGTGAGGGGGGGTGCACCCAGGGGAGCCACGGAGTGTCACAGAGTGGCAAGGAGGCTGAGGGGCAGTGGCAGAACCAGCAGCAGGGCTCTGGATGGGGTGGGCAGGGCCAGGGACTTCCCCATGAGGCTGTCCCAGATCCAGGCCTGGTAGGCGGAGACTTTCAGGAAGATGGGTGGGGCCTCGCTCTTATTGCAGCCCGGGCCCCAGCTCGTCATTCCCACCAGGTACCACGTGCCCTCCAAAGAGCAGACCAAGGGTTCGCCAGTTGTCTCCTGCAGGGAGGAGTAGAAGGGGGGAAGTAAAAAAGGGTCAGGGAGGCCAGGCAATGATTGAGGGAGACAGGACCCAGCTCAGGGTCCCGCATACCAGGTCCTCTCCTCAGCACCCCCAGTGCAACACAGCTGAGAAGTGTTCCAGACTGAGGAACCCTCCTCAAAGGTTTTCATCCCTCACCTCTTAAACACCTGCTATCCACCTCCCCACTCCCCACCCCCTTCTCTCATCTCCATCCCCACTCGACCAGGTCCTCCATCTCCATCCTCCACCTGTCCTCCATCCCCCTCCCCCTTACCATCTTCTCATACCCCTTCCCTTCTCCCTGCTCACCCTTCCCCTCCTCTCTCTTCTCTGTGCCCCTCAGGTCCTGCCCCCCACCCCAAGCCTCCTGCCAGTGCCCCTGGGGAGGTTGAGCAAGGGGCAGAGGTGCTCACATAGCAGAAATTCTCTCTGCTGCCATCCTTGACACAAATCATCTGGGAGTTGATGATTTGAACCAGAGAGGGGATTCTGGAGAAGCTGTGGTAGAAGGCATCGCACTCCTTGCTGTTCAGAATGACAACTTCCTTCTCCTGAATTGTCTGGAACTGGGGCCCCGAGCCTGTGGGACAGGCCGCTTTCAGGGTGGGTTGCTTTGCTGCTGCCCACTACAACCAGCTCTGTCTCCATCCTCTCTTGGCTCCTTCCCATCCCTTCCCCCTAGACTTTTCTGTTTGGCACACAGTAGGCACTGAGATTTCCCTGGGCACAGCCCAGCTGCCCCTCTAGCTAGCATTTCCCAAGAGTAGCCAGACCCAGAGACCCTGGAACAGGCTGATCCCCCAATCTGGCCTTGATCCCTGCAGAGTCCAACCCAAGTCCATTAAGAAAGTTCTGTTTACTTTCTGAAATAGAAAAGAACTAGGCCTGAGGGTTCAAAGGAAAACCGCATCCATTGAGGCCCAAGTGGCAGTGATAAATTCACTGCCTAGACTCTCAAAGGGGAAGGACACATCAGAAATGAGAACCCAAAGGAAAGTCCCTGGGGCAGTGGGCTCCTTTGAGAAGGTGCCCCAGAAATGTTCATCTGTGGTCTGTACCCAGGTCCTCTCACACCCCACCATGGTCTAGGGAGCTGACTCACCATTAACCTGGGGAGAGCCCCAGCCCGTCACAGTGCAGAGGGAACTTTCCTCCAGCGCATAGTCCAGGCCAGGCAGGCAGACGGGCCTGACATACTTGTTGTACTTGAGCTTCTTCTGAAGCTTGAGGAGGCCGATGTTGTTAGCTTGGCCAATCCAGGACCAGTACCGCTTGGACCGGAACCTTCTGTGCACAATGACCTGGAGCACCAGGATGTTGGAGCTACTGGGCGTAATCTGGTCAATCCACGGACTCCCCACCATCACTGTATAGTTATCATGCCTATAGGAACCATGAAGGGAGCCTGCCATCAGCTCCAGGTACCAGCCCCAGCCTCTAGCCCTGCCACTCTTGCCTTCTGAGCAAATCCAGGCAGGATGCACACTTGCTTTGAGCCCCCTGAGACCACTTCTCACAACAGATATGAGGAGGGTACTGGGAGCATTTTATGGAAGAGAAAACAGGCCCAGAGAAGCCCAGTGATTTGATCAAGGCTGCCCAGCCTAGAAGTGTTAGAGCTGGGATGTGGACCCCGTTTTCTCTGCTTCCAGACTCTGAACTCTTTCCAATACCTATACTGCAGCCTGGCAGGTGACACAGACCCTGTGTAACTGGCTTGGCTTGGCTCCAGGCTGCCTTCTCTGGCACACCTCTTGGAGTCCCTATGATGGCCCTGAGACCTGGAGCACGGGTGTCCACTGGTCAGTCTTCACAGCCCAGATGGTACCCCCAGGCTGCTCTCCTGGTCCCAGGACCCCAACATACCCACTCTTTCGTCTCCATACCAGCCACACTCCCCTGTGAGTATCTATCCCCTTGCCTGTCTTCCCACTAACTGGGAGGAATGATTCATCCCCTCTCTGCCTCCAGTGCCTAGGCCAGGGCCTGGCTCAGAGGAGTGTCCACTGGTCGATGGAAGGGAGGATCGAACAAGTGGGAGCAAATTGTGGGGGTGAAAGACCTAGGACCTTCTTCCCATGGAGGAGAGGTAGGAAGCCAGAAAAATGGCCCCTGAGCCTCTATTCCCTGAGGAATGACTGTACAGGAATAAGGGCCCAGGTGAGGGGACACTCCAAAGACTGGCCCCTAGAAAAGATTCTGCAGGACTCAACCCTCACTTGATTGGAACCAGGGTGAGTGAGGGTGAGGCTGGAACTGTGGGTTCCACAAAGAACACTGTCCCCACTAATAAACCGACCAGGCAGATGACCAGGTCCCCAGCACTCCAGTGCTGGGGTGATGCCCACCCGCCTGGGCCCCAACTCACTGAGTCAGGCAGTGGGCCACGGCCAGAACCCATCTGGAGGCAATGAGGGTGCCCGAACAGACATGTATACCATTGGCCCTCACACTGACCATCCATGGCCACCGCCGAGTCATGGCCTCTGGGTCCCTGAGGGTGGGGTCCTGTTCATAGGAGAAGCCACAGACTGAGGAGAAAGAGAGAGCCTGATGAGGAATAGACTTCCCAGCCCCAGCCCATGCACCTGCCCTCCCCACTACCTCCCCAGGCTCTGGCCCACAGTTCTCCTTTTCATTTCTCACCATAGAATAAATGCTGTCCATGATGGACTGGGTCTCCAGCCTCAGTACTGCCCAGTTAACCTTCTTCCTGTTCCCATAGCCAGGCCTTAGAGCACCCCAGCCAACCAGCCTGTTGTACCCCTCAGCCCCAGGCAAATCCTTCAAAACTTGTTTGTGTTTCTGTCTCCACCTTCACCCTTCCTCTACTTTGGCCAAGATGAACCCCCTTCCCTTCTCAGGGGGGGGGGGGAGACCCCCTGCTGTGATTCATCCAAAGAAAGGTGAGTAATCCAACAGAAAAACAGGCAGCGTGCATGAAGAGGCACAGCCTGAGGAGCAAAGCCCAGGGGTACAGGAGCACAGGAGCTGCTCAGCCTCTTGATGCCCAAGGAAATGCAGACTGAAGGCACAATGAGGTTCTGCTCTCTGCACATGCGCCTGGCAAAAATTAGATATCTGTAGCGTTGAGTGTCCCTCAGGATGATTTCCCTAGAATGCTCCCCGACTGCAGGTGGGAGAGCCAATTGCTGCAGACACTTTGGAAACGTTGTTTTGTTTTAAATTGAAATGAACATATCCAGCATCCAGGAGTCCCACTCCACATAGATGAGTGGATTGTGAAATCAAGGTAAATGGGCCACGACCAGCATTTTTATTTATTTATGATTTATTTGCAGCACTGGGGATGGAACCCAGGGCTTTGCACATGCTAGTCAAGGCTGCTCCACTGAGTTCCACCCCCCTAGTCCTGAGCAGCATTCCTAAAGGATAACACAGGAAAGTGACTGTGGGCATGCACTGTACAGAATACTGCATGGTCTCTTTTGGGAGATTTTCTGAGGTGGTTGAAGTGAATGCTCTTAGCCCCAGTTTAAATATTTCACACATTGTTCTCAGCTAAAGACCACTGCTCAGGGGAACATCTACACGTGTGTTCTGGGACTCCAAGGGAAGGCTCACAAAATTCCCTGACCCAAGCTATGCTTGCAGGCCACTGAGGTCCAGGCTGGGAGCCCAAGTCAGGGTCAGGCTGGGACAGGACTTGGAGCAAGGGTGGGCACCTGCCCCACAGCCAGCTGGTGGCATGGAGCCTGGGTGCCTTGCCCCACAGCACCAGCAGGGAGACCTGCGAGGACAGGACCAAAGGTTTGGCCACAGAACTTTCTCAACAAATACTTGCGGAGGAGGTCATTCTGCTCCACTCCTCCCCTGTCCCTTCAGCCCCGTGGGCCAAAGTTGACCAGCGGGAGCGCACAGTACTCACTCGGCGGCAGCACCTGGGGTTGGGTGCTGGAAGCCGTCGTGCTCTGCGGTGGAAGTTGAGACCCGTTGGTGGGGTTGGGGGTGCTGGAGGTGCTGGGGGTGCCCGGGTCGCTCAAGGCACTGGAGAACGGCGCCCCTGGCGGCTCCTCTGCACGTGAGCAGCCTGCGGGGAGAGAGCGGGTGAGAGGCGGCGGGGCGGCCGGCGGCTGGCGAGCCAGGGGAGACGGAGGTCCCCTCACCCGCCAGTTGCGGCGACAGCAGCTGAAGCAGCAGGAGCAGGAGCAGCGCGCGGAGGTCCTGGGGTTCCTGCCAGCCCGCCGCCGTCCACCACCAGGGCTGCATCCCGGATGGCAGCGACGCTCCACGGGCTCCTCTTCCGATGGCGCCCCCAGTCGGCTCGGCAGACACCACCCCGGCGCCGCGACGCACCCCAGGGATCCCTGCCCTGGCTCCCAGTTTTCACCTCCGCCCTCCTCAGACCCTCGCCTGCCTTCCTTGCAGCGCTAGGCTAGAGTCGCTCCACCTGACTTCTTGGTGTCTATTGAGATAGAACGCACATCCCTGGGGGGGTGGCGTCCAGGAGCTCCAAAAGCCTACTTTCCCTCCTGCCTGGTAATTAATTGCAGGGGGCCTTTGCCCTAGGGCAGCACGATTAAGCAGATCCGTATGGTTTAAATAGTGATTTTTAAAGTGCATCATTTTTAGCAACTCTTACCTCCTCAGCAAGACTCCTACTTCACAGATTCACCTGTAGAGGAAAGTGACCCAAGTAAAGAGTCCTTCCACAGAGGAGTGACGTTGGCCATTAGACCACAGTGGGAGCACGGTCACTTTGTTGGAATCTGGTAAAGGTTTGGTGGTTCAGTGATGCAGATGGGTAATACCTTTAAGTAATGCTGGGGATCCGAGGAGAAGCTTTGGTTCAAAGCTATTGGGAAACTCCAGACTAATAGAAGTCAAGGTAAAAGCTTAATCAAGCCAGGACTTTCTAAGTGTGTCAGGGCCTGCAGACATGGGAGGCACCTGAGCAGCCCGTGCATTGTTCCTGAGGTAGGATAGAAGACCTAAGGACAAGTAGAAAGGGAAGGAAAGAGGGACTGTAGCTTTAAATCTAAAAGCCCCATGAACACCCACCTTCACTCCCCAGGCCTATGCCTCTATTCACATGTCCTGAAATTCCTTTCTATGCTATAAGTCAAGAACCTGTCAGGGCTGAGTGAGGTCCCCTTTTCCCTTCTAGAGACCTCCTTGGATCCCGCACTGGTGGGACTTCAATCTGAAAAGACAGCGAATGCCCTCTGGTTCCCTGAGGGGAAAGGTGGCTGGCTGTTCTGCATGTGAGGCCAGCAGGGTTTGAAGGGCCCCTGCTACCTCACAGGGCACAGGGCCCTCTCCTCTCCTGCTGGCTAGTTTGAGCCAGTTTCCTGCTATCTGGAGTCTGATGGAGGTTACTGAAGCAGCTCAGAAACTCACACAATCACTTAACACATTCATCCTACCACGCACTCTTCTGTCATCACCCACCCCTGCCAGGGAGGGAGGACCTGGTCAGGTTGTGCAGACCTGTAGGGGGACATAAGGAGTGGGAGAGGCCGGTGGGTTCCAGAGCACTGTCCACAAGCACAGGTCTGTTATCTAGCCACTTTTTCTGGGGAAGAAGCCAGCCTTCATAGGAAGGCCTAAGAGAAAATTCTTCTTATTGACCCAGGGGAGGGCCTCAGGATGGAGGGGTACTGGGGTGACTAAGCAGTGGTTCCGGCCCCTATGTGGCAGAGGAGAAAACTTCAGCCAAAAGAGGGGAACCGTCATGCCAAAGTCACTCAGCCAGCATAAGACAGACACGGGATGAGGCTTTCAGGAAAGGCACAGTTTGATAGAGGACAACCAGGCCTGCTACTGGTGAGGAAGGTTCTAGAGGACTCTGGTCAAAGGCAAGAAGAGGCAAACTCAGTGGCTCCAAGTTCAAGAGCATCTTCATTGAACAGCTTTAAAGGAATAGTAGGTCTAGGGTTCTCCCCCAAAGTCACTCAATGATGATGTCTTATTCAACTTTTGGTCTCCACTTCTTCCCCAGGGCAGAGTAGAGAGGAGGGAGAGCAGCCGCAGGAGTCTTTATCCTAGAAACACCACTCACAGGAGCCACAGGGAGCCCAAGGAGACCAGCAGGATACAGCCAGCGAGGAAGGGAAAGCTCAGGATGGTTGCGCCATCTCTGATGGTGCTGGCGAACCTCAGGCCAACAACCTGCTTATTGATCCAGCGGGTAAAGTGTGGGGTGCTGGTGTAGATGCCAGGGTAGCGATGGCGCCCACCACATCGATAGCTCCAGCTCACTATCCCCATCTGGATCCAGGTGTTGTTCAATTTGCAAACAAGGGAGCTGCCGGAGTTCTCCTGCAGAGGAAAGAAAAAGAGGCCTGAGATGGTAGCAGGAGGCCCCCTGAGCATGAACTGGCATAGGCTTGTGCTGTCCCCCAGGATGCAACTTGGCTATGAACCTGCTCTAGGACACATGAGCTCAGCACTGGCCTCTCCATAATCCTTTAGCTTTATCCTGCTAACTCTCTGATCATAACCCCCAGGAGTTTCCCCTTAAGCTCTGGTGGGCCTCCAAAGTGTCCTCATTGACCTTCTTTCCTACAATCCAGCTCACAGAATGAGCTCTCTGAAATGCAAACCTGCTCCCCTCTTTTGTGCAAAAATGGGTGCACAGCTAAGGATAATGTTACAAGGATGTATGTCAAAAGATAAGGCCTGTAATTTCTGGTAATGGTGGGTTTCCTAAGATTTTTTTAAACTTTCTTTACATTCTACTATAATGTTGAAAAAAAAAAAAAAAGCTCTTTTTTTTTTTAATGTAATGCATACCAAGATTTACTGGACTTAATCTAAAGAAGACTGCATAAAACACTTAAGGAAAAAATAATAAAGATCTGCCTGAGAATATAACAGAAGACCTGCATTAGTGCACAGATATGCCACTCTTCACAGATGAGACAACTGAATGTAAAAAAATGTCAACTCAGAATTGATTTCTTGTAATATAGAGGACAAGATACCCTAATGGACTTTCTTGCTGGATATCACTAAAACAGTGAGATTTTTTTTAAATGATTATTTTATGCATGTGAGGCCAGCAGGGTTTGAAGGGCCCCTGCTACCTCACAGAGCACAGGGCTCTCTCCTCTCCTGCTGGCTAGTTTGATACATGAATGAGCTGACAAGAAAGTGAAGACTCTTCAGAGCCCAAAACCTACGTGGGAGCTGGAACCCAGAGGGGTCAGTAGAGCCCAGAAGATGGCTTTTGCCCCAAACCCAGTGAGCTGCACTTCAGTTTCTTGGATGCAAGAAAGGCATAAAAGAGAGCCAGGAGGGGTACATAGGAGGAGAGCTCTTGCAAAAAGCTACACCTCTACAAAGGATTACAGCTTCAGAGGAAGCATGAACTGGAAACTGCTTCTCAGGTGAATGTGGAACTCGGGTTCACACCGTCTGAATGATTCAAAAAACCTAGCTGAGAGGGGATGTCACTAAAAGTCGTTCTGGGCTGGTCATACTCTCAGGCACCTGGCAGAAACAAACAGATTCTGTCGGGAGGAAACTACTTTTCAAGCTACCCCTCAAATAACAGCCTACAGAAGTTCCTGGCTCCTCCAAATACTGCCTAGCACACAAAGAAGCTGAGGCCCGGAGAGCCCTCACCAGCAAGCAGAAAAGCCCAGGCAGTGGGACCCTTCCAGTTGAGACCCAGGAACCGCTACACAGAAGCTGCACACGTCTCTAAGCTGCTGTTTCTTAGGCAATGTGGTTGGTGAATAGATGGTGGTGGTTTTATTCTTTCTTCTCCACACATATTTTAGAAATATTCTTTTGTTTATATTCTATACAGAGTAACAACAATTAAAAATGATATGTCAATTCTTACGTTAATCCCTAAAAATTAAGCAATTTCAATTGAAATAAGAGCAGGAATTTTTTTTAGGAACTTGACAGTCTGATTCTAAAATGATATTGAAGGATAGTAGTCCATAAAGGACAAGATTTATTTATTTATTTATTTAAATGTGGTGCTGAGGATGGAACCCAGTGCCCCACACATGCAAGGCAAGTGCTCAACCACTGAGCCACAACCCCAGCCTCAGACAGATTTTTTTCAAAGTTTCTCATTATAGAAACTGGGTAGGATTGTTGTGTAAACATAAAAATATACCCATGGGGCAATGGAGAGCCCACAACCTGATGCGCAGGCCTGAGGGGACTTGACGTGTGTTACAGAAGGTATCACGTCTACTGGAAAGAAGGACTCTGCCGTAGATGGCAGAGAAATTGGCTCACCAGATAGAGAAGGAAAATGAAGTTGGATCCTCCAAAACATGCTCTGGAGGAATTAAAACTCTAAATGTGAAAAATGAAATCGATGAAGCTGAAGCATGGGGCCAAGCATGGTGGCGCAGGCCTGTACTCCCAGGGACTCAGGAGACTGAGGCAGGAAGATAGAAAATTGGAGGCTAGTCTTGGTATCTTAGCCAGGCCCTCAGCAACTTGGCAAGATCCTGTCTCAAAATAGAAAATAAAAGAGCTGGCAATGTGGCTCAGTGGTAAGGCTCCCCTGGCTTCAATCCCTAGTACCAAAAATCAAAGAAAAACCATATGGGGCCTTATCTTGAGGTGAATTTTATATATATATATATATATATATATATAAAATTGGGTGCAGGAAAGACACTATATATATAAATGAAGGCTATCTTTGGTGAAAGACACCAAATATCATGGAAGATAGATGATGGATTAAGATGGGGTATTTGCTTTCTGACAACCAGAGGTCGATATCTAGCGAATCTAAGGAACTGGTAAAAATGTCAAGTAGGGAAGAGAGCTACAGAAGAGACAGGGCCCTCGCTACCAGGAGATACATTTCCCTGGCCTCTGGGTGAGGCAGGGTTCACATCAGAGGAAGGAGATGGAGGTATACAAAGAAGAAATAATTTCTTGAATCAATCAGGACTTTTAATAGGACAGGTATTTAGTAGCTGAGAGTAACTAAAAACTATGAACTCTGCTCAAAATGATGATTGGGTGAGGAAGGAAGATTTGACTGTCACTGGGCATGTTGAGGGGGGACTATGATGATTTCAAAGAATAAAACTATTTTCAATGTGAATATCTTAACAAATTGAGATTCCTCAAGAAATTAGAAGAGGTGATATGTAGCACAATATCATTTGTGCAAATGATATTGAGCAACAGTATTGTTCAAAAATGCAGACGTCTTCAAGGATGTGTATTGAATATATCTGAGTAGAGAGCCTTTTGAGAGGAAGCTGAAGGAGAAAATCAAGCCTGTAATCATCAAGCCTCCAATTACAGTATGGGGGGTCCTTGCCTGACTGTATGATCCCCTGGATGCTAGGGGCCCAGAGAAAGAGTGAAACCCAGAGAGAATAGTAGAGAGACAGACAGATGGGTGGACATTGTATGTGAACAACCTCCTACCATAGCAAAATAAAACCAGAACTCAGTTAACAAAATTTGAACAACCCCATCAGAGGAAAATAAGTTTCTAAAGTATTAAATTACAAACAGAATTAAAATCTATAATTAGAATATTGAAACACAAGAACACTACATATTGCAAAGCCACGGGCCTAAAGTGAACAAAGTTTAGCTCTTGTCTAAAATGCATTTTTTAAATTAGAGCATTATCTTTATACAGAGTATTTAGGTTCCTTTTGCCTGGAATTTGATTTCAGTCCCCATTCCCCCCTCCTCTTCCCTCTTCTCCTCCCTCCCCTAAAATACGTTTAACAAAACAACATATTACCCAAGAATGACTCCTCAAAGGAAAACATGTCTATGTGTTTGGTTTTTTTGTTTAATTATTGCAGTGCTAGTCCTAGAACCCAGGGCCTTGCATATGCTGGGCAAATGTTCTACCCCTGAGTTATACCCCTATTCCTTTTCATTGCATGGTCGATAAGTTGGTGTCCAGGTTGGCCTTGAACTTGAGATCCTCCTGCCTCAGCCTCCTGAGTTGCTGGGTCTATGCAGTTTCCCAATCAACTTCTATCCAATATCCAAGGAGATATCCAATTTATTTCATTTCAAATGCTCCAGAACATGGGCAAATGTTTTTCAAGTGAAGCATACATAGCCCTGATACTTTAACTCAAAAAAGGGAATAATTATTTCCTTTACTCACCTTAAAGAAGAGCCAGCCTCACTGGAGGAGGGAAAACAAAGGTTCTGTAGATCATTTGGCATGGACTGATGGACTGTACTACTCGGGGCTGCTTGTTTGCTGAGGCCAGTACTTTCCCTGAGCCTGACATTATCTCAGGGTCCAGCACACAGTGTCTATTGGATATAGTAAATTAAACCCAGCTATTAGGCTTTTTAGGATGTCAGAAACCTTAAATGGTCTTACCAAGTGCAATATTAGCTAAGTTAAAGCTGAAAACCTATGCTGTTGTTTCACTGAGACTTCTGGGAATAGTTTAAATATTGCCTTAATGTAACAAGAATGTGTTTATGCATTTGTTTCTTTATGCATTTTGTCAAATATTAAAACTCTATTTTTTGGGGCTGGGGTTGTGGCTCAGCGGTAGAGAAATTGCCTAGCATGTGTGAGGCACTGGGTTCGATCCTCAGCACCACATAAAAAGAAATAAAATAAAATAAAGATATTATTAAAAAACTCTATTTTTAATAGCACACATTAGCTTATAAGCTTTATTCCAGTCAGGTGAGGTGGCACAAGCCTGTAATCCCAGCAACCCAGGAGGCTGAGGCAGGAGGATTGCAAGTTTGAGGCCAAACTCAGCAACTTAGGAAGGTCCTAAGCAACTTACTGAGACCCTGTCTCAAAATAAAAAGTGCTGAGTATATAGCTCAGTGATTTAGCACCCCTGAGTTTAATACCCAGTACCAAAAAGAAAAAAGAAAAAAAAAAGCCTTTATTCCAAGAGGCATTTTTTTTTTCACTTGTTAAAAAAAAAATGTTTCCACATAAAGAACAGTATTAGAGGACTAGAGGACTTCCGTCTTTTATGTCCAGGATAATAAGGACTTCAAAGCCAAAAAGTTTAATTCTTAAAATACGTTCTAAAAATGACATTATGAATCTAAATTCAACAGATGAATGAAACAGAAGTACATCATGACCAAGAAGGTGCCATCTTGGAACACAAGGTCAGTGGGCGTGATGAATGTGCCCAGAACCTGGGGTTAGAGCAAACAGTCATCTTGAAGGCTGCAGAAAATGTGTTGATAGAGCAGAACATTTACTCCTGAAATAAGCACCACAGCACAACAGAAAGGAACCGCCCTCTCCTCAACAGATTATATGTCAAATTAGACCATGAAATGCTTTTTGGTAAGGTGTGAGAACACTT